TTGGACAAGAACACCGTCCGGTCTAAGAGAACCGGAAGAGCACCATGTGTTGGACTGTACGGTTAATGGACGGACCTTGTTTGATGCAACGTTGTATTCGATGGAGTGAGCTGTGCAGTCTATTCTGGAGACAGCGTCCTGTGGATTGTCACGGCATTTACCGTTGGGGAGAGAGATGTTCGATGGACCGAAGTTGGTTCGGTCGAACATCACGACACGGCCGTTGGGGAGGAGCTGCATGTGCATAGCGGAGATTCCGACGTTGGAGAGGAGGAGATCCCATTTTCCTCCGGCGGCTAATGTTACGTGACATGTTAGGAGGAGTTGGAGGGATGTTAGCAAGAGAACATTAAGTATTGTGGCTCGTGTTGCCATTTCTTGGTTTCTTGTTTGATCTTTGTGTGTGTTTGTTGTTGTTGTGTGTTGTGATGTAAATGCATCGTGTCTTCTTCTTTTATATAGTGGTCGATGTGACATTATGAAATGTTATTTTATGTAGTAGTTTAACAAATAATAATTGTATAATTATTTTTTAGTTTTAAAAATGAAAAGTCCAATGTATTAGTAATTGAGATTTTGTTATCTTTTTGTTTTGTTTTTCTTGAAGTAACTTGTATCATCCTTTTATCTATACTATTATTTAAGAAGTAAATTTGCTTAGTTGTCATGTTCTCCATAAGTTTAGGTAATTTTGTTTATTTATCATATTTTAATATTTATATATATTTTATTTGTAATAAAACAAATCTATATGAATATATCATATTTTTAGTAAATAAGATAATTCTTGTGAATTATGTTGTTATCTTGAAATATACTTTTATTATATATTATTTAAGAAGTAAATTTGCTTAGTTGTCATGTTCTCCATAAGTTTAGGTAATTTTGTTTATTTATCATTTTTTAATATTTATATATATTTTATTTGTAAATAAAACAAATTGAATATATCATATTTTTAGTAAATAAGATCTCTTGTGAATTATGTTGTTATCTTGAAATATAATTTTATATGTAAAACTTAAATTTTAAATTAAGATATAAACACTATTATATTTATCTTAAACGAATTTGCATTAATATTTTAATATAATTAAAATATATCATATTTTTAGTAAATAAGATAATTCTTGTGAATGATGTTGTTATCTTGAAATATACTTTATATATAAAACTTAAATTTTAAATTAAGATATAAACACTATTATATTTATCTTAAAAATATTTAAATATAATTAAAACAAATTTATATAAATAATTTAATAATTTCTAAAATAAGATAATCATTATGGATTATGCTGTTATGTTGAATATATATTTTCCTATTATAGAACTTAAAATTAAGATATAAAAATTATATTATTAATAATTAAATATAAATCATCAAAACAATTATTTGAAAAGTGAATTTGTTGATGTGTCTCCATGATTCTAGGTAATTTTGATCATTTATGAGAATTTCAATAATTTTGTTTATTATTGATTATATATATAAAACTAATGTATATTAATAATATGATATTTTAGAAAATAAGTGAATTCTTATGTATCATGCTGTTATCCTGAAAAAAAAAATTTATTAGAAAATTTAAATTTTTTTGTCGGCTAAAATTTAAAATTAAAATGTAAAAAATCTATAGTATTATTTAAGAATGGAATTTGATGTTTCCTGATTTGTCATATTTTCCATGATTTTAGGTAGTTTTGATAATTTATAAATTTATATAATTTCATGTATAATTTATTATATATTTAAAAAATATACTAATAGTATCAGATTCTTAGAAAATAAAATAATTTTTATGTATTCAGTTGTTGTCTTGAAAAATATATTTTTCTATTAGAAATTTAAAATTAAGATATAAAAGTTGTAGTTTTTCTATAATTGGAATAAATTTACACTAATAATATTATACTTTTAGAGAATATGGTAATTCTTATGTATTATGTTGTTATCCTGAAAATATATTTTTATATTATACCATTTAAAAGTAAAATAGAAAATAATCTATTATTAATTAAATATAAATTATCACTCAAGCAAAATTATTTAAGAAGTGAATTTTTTGATTCATTAAGTTCTCAATGATTTTAGATAATTTTAGCTATATGTCATAATCTCTATAATCTTATAAAATTATTAAATAGTCAAAAAAATTATCATATTATATTTATATTTTCAGAAAATAAACTTATGCATTATATTGTTATCTTGAAAATATATTTTTCTAATATAAAATTTAAAATTAAGATATAAATATTATAATTAAATATAAATCAAGAAAAATACTTATAGAAATATATTTTTTAAAATATTTATGATGTTTGAGTTTTGCCATTGATAATTATTTGATGTTTGATTTTTACTTTTTGAAAACATAAATAATAATATACTATGCTGATTTTTAAATTAATGAAACATCAACTAAAAAATATTCATAAGATAATTATGCCCGCAAGTGCGGGCAAAACACCTAGTTGCAAGTTTAAATAACATATCTTATTCAGCGACCGTCTAGAAAAAAATAGCATATCTTAAGCGCTGAGTCAATGTTTTATACAAGGATTCATGACAACTAAATTTATATGCCTATTTTAGTTATAAGCAAATGTAAAACTTAATAGAAATTTAAGAAAGTCTTCACTATATATGTTTTGATGTTTGTGCATTCACGTAGCCAGTGATATATATTTCGTGGAAACAAACAACGATTTCCTTGTTTATCTTTCTTTATTCTTTCTTTTCGATTTGGCTACAACTATTTTTAGATGTATGATTGCATTCATATTTCTATAATCACTATTACAGATATACAGAATAGGATTTGTCGTGGAAGGAACAATTATATTGTTGGATTTACATTATACTCGAGGGATTTCATACATAATCATCGATTTTTTTCTCAAAAAAAAATTATCGATTATTTGAGATTAATTAGTTCCAGAGACGTTAAGGACGAATTAGTGACGAAGAATTGAAGATGTTGTGTTATAGCATCAAACAGGCAACTATAAATTATACAAGAGTCCGTTACGTTTGAGGTCAGAAAAATATGTTTAAACTATACCTTTAACTTTGATTGTCGCTATTTTTCTTGTTATAAATGACTAAACACATAAAACATGCTTAACAAACCGCATGTCAATTTTTAGCAAAAGATTCATGCACATCAAATTAAACTACTTGTTCCAACGGTTTGTAAGTTGTAACGTTAATTGCGTTTACATATGTATATTATGACAACTTCATGATCCACTCAAAAATTATAATAAAATCTTCGATGTTTATTTATACACATGTCTAAATGATTAAGATGGTTCATTTTTATGCTTAGATGTCAAATACCGTTCTAATTCTCCGATCATTTGATTCGTCTCAAATATTTTTAATTTATATATGATAAGTAATCAAATTGATATTTTAAATCATTTGATTTTACATTATCCTTGATTGCCTTAACATGTAAATTACGATTATTTGTGACATTATTGTGATCGGTAGGCTGCAAGGACGACTTAATTATGGCAATGTTGTGTTAACATCAAACAGGCAAACTATAGATTATAAAGTCAAAGCCCGTTACGTTTTAGTACTCCCAGGGGCTATTTATCCTGGTTCGTTGCACGTTAATTATTTTGGTCGTCCCAAGTTTTCTTTTTAATAACTAATATAAACAAACGCAGAACATTCATGCATACATCAGTTCAAAAGAAAGAACATTCATGCATACATACATAGTATTTGCTTCAGCGGTGCAAAGTTGAGCGAAGTTAACTACATGTAAACATTTATACTTGAATTTCCTACTATGCAATGTCAGAACCAAGGAAATATTGTGACAAAAATCAAAGTCTCGAGTACAAGGACGCCCAGTAAAAAAACCACTTCGCCACTTATCCGTGAACATACCTTTTTATTCTATATCTTAAGACAGGTAGTTATGTTTGATAGTATATTCAGTGAAATTTTAGTATATAAATTTTGCCCATTTATTTGATAGTAATACGTACAATATCAATATATATATATGTGTACTCTTGACTATGTACATAATATTATATGTTTTTCTTTGAGAAAAACATAATATTATATGTTCTCCTTTATGAATAAGTATGTATATTTCCGTATCACCAAATCTAATGATTGACCTGTGACATTCCATTCATGAACGCAGTTAGTTGACTCTGAATTTTTGTACGTTGATCGAATGTATATTTTTGCGTTATCACATTATTCATATGTAATCATTCTTGTTTTTATACATTTTAATCAGTAATTATTTAGATTATGCATCAAGAAGCAATTAAAAAAAAGATTTAGTTTTCGAAGCTGCTCATTTTATTAATTCAACTTCCATACCAGAACATCTAAACCTTCGCTGTCTTATAATGATTGCACCTTACACCTATGCAAAATAATAGTTTTGAATGTTAATCTAATTTAAAACATGGCAAAGACTATCAGAGGACATGTCATGAATCATCCACCGTTGCGTTGAGGGAGTAATGGTTAGCACGACAGGACAAGCAATTTTAACTTTAACACACATCGTAATAAATTGTTTAACTTTTTTTGCCAAATTAAAATTGTGATTAGTCACACATTTTAATAAATGATGACTTCATGTATGTTAAATTGAAAAGATAAGATTAATGTCCAGATGATATCATACTTTGAACTAAATAAACTAGCTTTAATCCCTTAGAACATTTCCAATGGAGGATTTTCCCCACTAGAATATCAAATTTGTGGTAAAATTTCGTGAAGAATCTCATCTAAAATTTCTTAAAATTTATATCAAATTTGTGGTAAAATTATACTTTTTTCTCAAAAACAAAATAGTGGTAAAATTGAAATTACCCCAATAACAAATTGGCATGGTTCGGTTTAGGTGGCAGGTTAGCTAATTAAAGAACGGTTTAGTTTTTACACGCGGACAAACCGCCGGGTAGTTACTAAACCACAATCAAAATCATTGTTTTGACATAAGTTTTAGTTTGGTCGGTTTCCTTCTCTCTCTCTCCAACTCTCGCGCAAACTGTTTTTTTATTGCCTCTTCGCGATCAGATCTCATCGGAAGAGACGAGCGATGGCTTCAGGTTTCAGCGGCGACGAAACTGCTCCTTTCTTCGGATTCCTCGGCGCTGCCGCCGCTCTCGTTTTCTCCTGTAAACAACCAAACCCCTTCTCTCACCACAGATCTCTCGGTTTTGTTTTTTTTTTTGTTTTTAATCTCATGTTTTTTTTTTTGGGTAAGGTATGGGAGCAGCGTACGGGACAGCGAAGAGTGGGGTTGGTGTGGCTTCAATGGGTGTGATGAGACCAGAGCTTGTAATGAAATCGATTGTTCCTGTGGTTATGGCTGGTGTGTTGGGTATTTATGGTCTCATCATTGCTGTTATCATTAGTACTGGAATTAACCCAAAGGCTAAGTCTTACTATCTCTTTGATGGTTATGCTCATCTCTCTTCTGGTCTCGCTTGTGGTCTCGCTGGTCTCTCCGCTGGTATGGCTATTGGCATCGTCGGTGATGCTGGTGTTAGGTAATTGAGATCAAACTCTATTCGATTTGTTCCAAAGATTGAATCTTTCGTGTTAGAGATTGGTGTTTGAGATGTTTAGAGCTAAAAAGGTTGCTTTTTTATTCGACTTAGAGAGATGTTTAACTTTGTGATCTAATGTCTGTTTGTTTGTGTTGTGCAGAGCGAATGCACAACAGCCAAAGCTGTTTGTGGGAATGATTCTGATTCTCATCTTTGCTGAAGCGCTTGCGTTGTATGGTCTTATTGTTGGTATCATCCTCTCTTCTCGTGCTGGTCAGTCTAGAGCCGAGTGAAACCTGGAAGTCTCTTTCTTATGTGAGCTAAATCCTTGTAATGTTTTTGATTTGTGGCATTGTGAGCATGAAGAAACAAGCTAATAATCATTTGAATTTGGTTGATTTTTTTTTTTAATTTGCACACTATGGGCTGCGTCATTGAGTAATAAAATAAGATGATTCAATGATTTGATTCTTTAGACTAAAACAACCTCTTGTTGTTTTGATGTTTCATCGATTGATATGAACAAAATGTGTGGTTTTCATTCTCTTTGATGTCAAACTCATCAATATGAGTGATAAATGGTAAACGCTCTTGATGTTCACTAATCCGTTGTAGTCTAGCTGGTCAGGATACTCGGCTCTCACTCGAGAGACCCGGGTTCCAGTCCCGGCAACGGAGATCTTTTTTGCTTCCCATATGGTTGAACATGCTCGTTCAGAAGAAGATGATGGAGACAGTGAACAAGAACTATTTTGTTTCGGTTACATCGACATTTACAATACTATACATTATTAAAGCATGTTCATACATATACATACATCCGTACATTGAAACAAATAAGGTCTGTTACGTGTGATTCTAATTTAAAAGTTACTTCAAATAAAGATCTCATAGAAAAGATTCTACCGATGTAGACCTAGTAACCAAACTAGACAAAAGACCAACCACAAGAGCACTGTTATAAGTACTCGGCTCATTTTGCATTGAATTGTTCCTTGCATCAATAAACGTCTCATTCAAAAACGGTCCACCAACAAGTGCACCATAAGCCACGTTAGGGTTTGATTCGTCTGAATTAAGCCACTTGAATCCATCTTTGCACCCTGTGTTTGCATCACCTGGTATAGAAGCTCCTCTATGATGCACAAACTCTGGATATCTCTCACCATAACCCACCAAATAGCTCATTTTCTCTGGATTCTCCCCTAGCATGTAATCAGCCTGCAAAGTGTAAATATTTAAACCATATAGTATACATGCAAGAGGTCATGAGTTTAGCCAAATGAAACACTAATTAAAGAACCTGAGATCTGGCGAATTTTCTGAGCTCTGAAGGTTTGAAGGATGTGTCACCACAGGATAGTTTATCAACACCTGATGTGAGCATGTAGTCACTGTAGAGTGTGGCTAAAAATGCTGAGGACACAGGATGTTGTAGTGCATTCCATTCAGCAACCCATATAAGACCACCTATTAACAAAAATTCAACAAATATTCAGATAATTTTGTGAAATTATATAAACGTATTATATAATGTCAAATGCAAGAGATATTCTACCATCAGTTCTACTAGAAGTAGCTGTTGGGGAGTCTGGTATGAGCCCACACATGACAGCTTCTGCTGTTTCTTTATAACCTTGAAGTCCGTTGTTCCCAGATAGTCCTTTCTTGAAGAAGGTTAATCTTGATAATAGAACCTGCAACGGTATATAAGTAACTAAATGTTTTTATAAGAACATAATGATTTGTAAGAAAGTGCATAATCTCTAATACATGTGTTCCTGGAAGCTTATTGTCCCAACTAAACCATGTGGGACTTCCAAAATTTCCAAACTCATCTCCATTTTTAGACACAAAGTCAAGGTATGCTTTGTCCTCTGTCGCATGGTACAACCAAGAAGCTGCCCAAAGAAGCTCATCTCCATACCCCGTGGAGTTGTAGTAACTCTGAACCTCAGGTATGTTGACACTGTAAGATCCTCTATTGTTATCCGCAAAATCGAACAACTGCTTGGCGTGTTTGAGAAGCGTGCTTGAATATTTGGGATCTGTTTCTTTAAAGACTAGAGATGCTGCAGCCATGGCTGCTGCTGTCTCTGCAGCAACCTCAGTCCCTGGAGTATCTTCATCAATCTTGGTGAGAGTTCTATTCCTTGACATTGTTTCTGGCCTATCCCAACACTTGTGATCCGTCTCCGGATCTCCCACCTTCACAATACATTGAATAATCAGCACTCCAATGTTTCAAAACTTCAAAACTTAAGAAAGATCCATACCTGGATATAGAGGACGTTTGGAGAAGGATGAGCATTGATGAGGAAATCAGTGGTCCACCTGAGAGAGTCTTTAGCAGGATCAAGTTGGTCTAGGGGGTTCATGTGGTCGCCGTACTCGAGAATGGACCAGGAGAGAAGAGTGGCAGTGAAAGCCATAGGGAAACCAAACTTCATGTGATCTCCAGCATCGTATAAACCTTTGGAGAGGTCAAGACTCGCTTCACTTCCATCTTTAAGACCTGAATCTCCTCTCCAAGGTATTTTGTTGTTCTCCAGCTTACCAGCTACATCAAAACAAAGCCAAGAAACATGAATAAAACTAAACTCTAGCCTAAAGAAAAAAAAACAATTAATCACTTTTGACATGTAACTTGCGTCACAAGAAGCTCCAAAATTCAAAATCTATAACTAGTACACAGGACCGGTCCTGAGATATCGAGGTGAAGCATTCGTCTTGGCCTCCAAAATATTTAGTAGTTAATCATATAACCTTCATTTGGTGTTTCAAACCTAATTTCGCGAACAAAATTAAAAAGAAAAAAAACTAAAGAAATTGAGAAAAAATAATTAAAAAATGGAGGGAAGATGGTATATACATTTCTGGATATCAAAGAACTGCATGGCGATCTTGAGAGCATCAGCGTACTTCTTATCAGTGGAGCCAGGGGCGATATCATCAGAATGGTTTGATCTATGCTTGACGGTGAAAACGATGGCGAGCACTACAGCGACCACCACGATGATCCCGATGAACCAACAGCAACAACAACATCTCGATCCTGATTTCGCCACCATTTTTTCTCCTCCTTTGGATCGATCCGAATGTCTATGGACATGCATTTAGGGGTATTGCTAGATCTACGGATTCCACTAACGGATTTTCTCTAAAAATAGTATTTTATTTTTTTGTGAATTTGAGAGAGAGAGAGAGCGACACTGAACAAACCTGTAATTACGCGGGACGATGATCCGTTTCTTTTATTTATTACAGAAACTTTGTTGTTATTACGGAAGTAACCTTTCTTGGAATGGAAGCAATGTGGTCAGTACAATGTCTCAATTGGAGGTTCCGTTGATTTTTGATATTTTATCATTTTTGGGTGAAACCTTTAATACAATTTTACCTGTGAAATTCATTATCAGTAGTCAACTCCAAAGGCTTTGATTTTTATATCTAATTGTTATGGGCAACAAATACTCCTATTTTGAACAGTTTAAACTATAGTCAGTCGACCATGGCATTTGAGAAAAAAACAGCTACTAGATTGTATTATTTTGATTGCGTGGAACATTGATTTCAAGCTATCAAGATGCAGTGCAAATCTATATCGATCGGTTGGTAAAAGTATCATCACTTTTGATTATAACTCTAGTTGTTGTGATAAACCCTTCACATTAGTACTTAGACTGATCATTACTTTGATTATAACTTTAGTTGTTGTGATGATGTCTGATATTTTATCATCTTTTAGAAAAAGACTGTAATCTAATCTTATTAATGAAGCATCAATAAAGTTGGTAAAAAAAGTATAAAAATTCCATCAAATCAGTCACAAGAAAAGCTTGGATCGTAAGTTGGATTTAGGATGTAGCAGCACCTTCAACCGCCACTAAAGCAAACACTGATCTAGCACAACCTTCATCAATAACAGAGGTATCACCAGCGTCAGAGATTGTTGCAGCATCACCACCGTCTTAGATTTAGCGAGCGTCATCTTCGAAAGAGACAATAATGGCAGAAACACTAAGGGTCGCTCGTGGAATCCTGAGAAAAGCTCGTTCAATGGGAGCACGCTAAAGGAGTACTTAGAAAAGGAAACACACAATTCTGCTATTTAATTGTTTCTTTCTTCTTTACCAAATCAGGTTAAAAATACAAAAAAAAAAAGATATTCCGCTGCCGGGGTTGAATTTAACCTGTGCGCTACAGCGGATCTGTTGCACATTTTTGCCTTGAAATTTATATAATGACAATAATAGCAGCAGCTTTTATAAAAAAAAAATTTTCCGCAGCCGGGCGTCGAACCCGGATTTCATCATCATTTGAAATTAACCTGTGTGCTACTGCGGATCTGTTGCACAATGTTGCATTGAAATTTATATAATGACAATAATAGCAGCAGCTTTATAAAGAAAAAATTATTCCTCAGCCGGCGGGCTTCGAACTCGAATTTCAGTTCATCACTTGAAATTAACCTATGTGCTACTGCGGATCTGTTGCACAATGTTGCATTGAATTTATATAATGTCTATAATAGCAGCAGCTTTATAAAGAAAAAATTATTCCGCAGCCGGGCTTCGAACCCGGATTTCATTTCATCATTTGAAATTAACCTGTGTGCTACTGCGGATCTGTTGCACAATGTTGCATTGAAATTTATATAATGACAATAATAGCAGCAGCTTTATAAAGAAAAAATTATTCCTCAGCCGGCGGGCTTCGAACTCGGATTTCAGTTCATCACTTGAAATTAACCTGTGTGCTACTACGGATCAGTTACACATTGTTGCCTTGAAATTTATCATTTATTATAATGTCTCAACTGATTTATAAATATTTAAAATAATTTATATTTTTTATATATTACTTTATCAATTTTATAACATATTTATAAAGTTTTCTAATTTAATACTTTTATAAATTATTGTTAAAGTTTAATGATGATTTTATAAGATTAAATATGTGATTGTTTGTCATATTACAAAAACATGAAGTAAATAAATAAAGCAAGAAATGCTTTGATTAATATGGTAGGAGTATAACATATTGGTTCAAAAATAAAAAAAGAAGAAATATAATCTTACTTTATTTTTTCTAAAATAGAAAAAAGTACGAATTCAATTGAAATTATATAAAGAGGAGAAAAAACCACTGCCATATTTTAAGTAATAGTGTTAAATTTCTAAACTAGGTAAATATCCTCAACACTACCTACAACTTTATATAACATAGAAATCTTAATTATTTGATATTTGACAGGATTAATATAAAATTTTTTTTATGTGTTTCCTCTTTTATAAAGCTTTATCGCTTTATTTTGTAATATAAAAAAATTATGTATTATTCTATCCTAAGAAATAGCACACCAAAACTTATAAAATCATTGTGAAGCCTTATTAATAGTTTATAAAAATATTAAATATTTACTAAGCTTTATAAATAGGTAAAAAATTGATAGTAATATATAAAAAAATTATTAATTATTTTAAGTATTCATAAATCAATTGTAATATTCTTAATTAAAATATAAATGATAATAAAGATTTTAAAATGTTTAATCGTATTTAGTAATAAAACTCCTCAACTAAAGATCAAATGTAAAAAAATTCCTCAACTAAAGATTTAATGAAATAGACCCTCAACTTTAGTTATGTTAATGTGTGTCACCCTCCGTCTAAAATTTTGTGACGGAGGGTGACAGACATTAACGGAACTAAAGTTGAGGGTTTTTTTTTAAGATTCTTCTTTAGTTGAGGGGTTTTATTACTAAATGTGATTAAATACTTTAAAATCTTTATTATCACTTATTCATTATTTAAGAATGTTACAACTGATTTATAAATATTTAAAATAATTTATATTTTTATATATTACTTTATCAATTTTATAACATATTTATAAAGTTTTATAATTTAATACTTTTATAAATTATTATTAAAGTTTAATGATGATTTTATAAGATTAAATATGTGATTGTTCGTCATACTACAAAAACATGAAGTAAATAAATAAAGCAAGAAATGCTTTGATTAATAAGGTAGGAGTATATCATATTGATTCAAAAATAAAAAAAGAAGAAAAGTAATCTTACTTTATTTCTTTTGAAATAGAAAAAAATACGAATTAAATTGAAATTGTGTAAAGAGAAGAAAAAAACCACTGCCATATTTTAAGTAACAGTGTTGAATTTCTAAACTAGTTAAATATCCTCAACACTACCTACAACTTTATATAACTTAGAAATCTTAATTATTTGATATTTGACAGTATTAATATAAGAAAAGTTTATGTGTTTCCTCCTTTATAAAGTTTTATCGCTTTATTGTGTAATATAAAAAGAATCATGTATTATTCCATCCTAAGAAATAGCAGACAAAAACTTATAAAATCTTTGTTAAACCTTATTAATAGTTTATAAAAATATTAAAATAGTTACTAAGCTTTATAAATAGGTAAAAAAAAATTGATAAAGTAATATATAAAAATTATAAATTATTTTAAATATTCATGAAATCAATTGTAATATTCTTAAATAATACTCCCTCCGATTCAATTTAATTGTCATTCTAGAGTTTTGCACACATATTAAGAAAATAATTAATTTTACATATTTTCAAAATAAAAACACAATTACCTATACACCTAACCACTTTTCAACCAATGAAAAAATAGAATAACATTTAAAATCAATAAATTTTGCATTGAAATTATAAAACGACACTTATTTTGAAACAAAAATTTTACTCTAGAATGACATATAATTTGAAACAGAGGGAGTATATAAATGATATTAAAGATTTAAAAATGTTTAATCGTATTTAGTAATAAAACCTCTTAACTAAAGATGAAATGTAAAAATTCATCAACTAAAGATTTAATGAAATAAACCTTCAACTTTAGTTCTGTTAATGTATGTCACCCTCCGTCTAAAATTCTGTGACGGAGGGTGACATACATTAACGGAACTAAAGTTAAGGGTTTATTTCATTAATTTTTTTAGGCCTGGGATTCTAAACCGAACCGAATGGTCCGAACCGAACCGAACCGACTATTGAGCCGTTCGTTTATTGTTCGGTTATGAGAAACAAACCGATCGGAGGATGTTTCAAATGAGTTCGGTTAGTACCTCGGTTCGGTTCGGTTCATGGATTCCGATCGGTTAACCGAAGTTAAACCTAGCTATATATACACATCTATTAAACGTAAGTGGCTAAGTGCCGTCAGACCTAAACCTAATCCTTATCAATCTCTCTTTCTCTCTCAAATCCGAACCTCTTCTAGTCTTCTTCGTCTAAATGTCTAACATCATCTACATCTGTCTCACACCTTTCCAACCACAAGGTAAGTTCTTCTCATTCCTATGTTTGTGTCGTTTTCAATATGGGGTTTGGGCTTGAGATCCTTTTGGGATCTAGGGGTTTCAGTCAAAGTCTGCTAGGTATTTAGATTAGGGTCAAAGGAAAGGTCGATTATGGTGACAGTGTTTCATAAGTGTTTTTTAGAGTTTGAGATTGATTTGAGATTAGGGTTTCAGTTAAAATCGATTAGGGATTTAAGATTTGGATCAAAGGAAGAGTTTGGTGTGATAGCGTCTCTCAGGATTTGTTTATCTATTTTCAGTCTAGGATCTGGGATGGATTTGATATTCATGTTTCAGTATAAAACTATAAATCGATTTGGTAGCCATTAAGTATCTTGGGTTAGTGTTGATACTCTCTTTGTTCTCTAACTTGAATTTCTTCATCGTAGGTTGTGAAGACAGGAGCTAGTTGGAGACGGCATGTCTTGGTGGAAAGATTAGAGCTTTAGAGGTAATATTATTTATCTTATAACTGGCATGTCTTGTGCGTATTTTTATTATGTCTGTTAACTGATTTTTTTACTGCAAAGTTCCAAGTTCAAGTGCGAGACTGAGGGAGTTGATGGCATCATGTTTCTGTTTTGTTTTGTCCACCATTATGATTTATCTTGGTCTCTCATTATGTATTTTGGACATTCTGAATATTTTTTTTTTGAAACTATGGGAATCTATGCTTCATTGGATGTTTACTAGTTGCAAAGAATCATAGATTCAAAATCTTTTATCTTTTCTTATGAATTTATGATGGTAGGAAAAGTATGAACAATTATATGTTTTCATTGGGCTGATTCATGTCTGTCTTTCTGATGTTTTTGTAATTTTTAGGTCATAACCGAAATAAACCGAAAATACTCGAGAATAACCGAAAATACCCGAAAAAAATAAAAAAAAATTGGGTTTTTGGTAAATTATTTGATAATTCGGCTATTTTCGGAAATAAATTGAAAACCGATTAAAACCGATTTCCGAACCGATCCGAACCGAATTCAATTTCGGTTTTGTTCGGAATCAGATTTAAAAATTCCGGTTAACCGAAAACCGAAAATTCAGTTCGGTTCGGTTTCGGAAAACCGAAATCGCAGGCCTAAAATTTTTCGTTGAAGGTTCTTTCTACGATATATCTATAGTTGAGGGGTTTTATTATTAAAAACCTATTTCTAAACTATTAAGATGTATTTTCTCTACCTGCACACATGTTAATATTATTTATTTTCTTTTGGTTAAGAGAAGATCAACATATATATCTCTTATGATAAAATGTTACCATGGTTTTCATCAGTAAGAACACAAACTGCTATCGATATCTACAATAACATGCTCAATTATCATGAGCAGTTAATTTGTTGAATTGACGTCATGTTCCATGCGTCATCATGCTGAGGAGTGAGGCATCAATAATAGAGCTGAGTGGTAGGTTGTGTGGCGGCAGCATAATAAATAAATAATGATGTTTGCAAAAATCGTATTACCATTGGCTTTCCTTTCTTCACCGTTAGATTCCATCTCTCGAAGATAAGATCAACCAAATCTATTATAGTATTGTCATTTATTGATATTAAAGTGATCCGAAAGTGAGATGTGATTGTTTTTCATTGGTTGATACAGTTAACACATGCCAGTGCACTGTTATTTTACAAAGTAAAAGCACTATTGAAAACGAGCGAAGAGGTAGAAAGAAAAGATGCTTTTTGTGTCCCTCTCAATTCCGGCTATAATTATCCATTTTCAGTTCATTTTTATGTATGAGCACTCTTAGTACCAACGAGTCCAAGAAGAAAACAAGAACAAAAACATGAGTGACCCAACCGGCCAATCTTCAACAACAACTGTCGGTGGAGACAACGGCGGTGGCGGCGGCAATACCGGCGGCAGCGGTAGCTCGTTTGCTAGTCAGCCGCAGAGAGCAAAGGTGAGGAAGCAAGTGTGGGCTGGAGTTCTCGGTATCTCTTCCGCCTCCACTAACAGATGATATTTTGTTACCTATTGACAAAAAAATGTTGGTCTGTAATTGTAATGCTTTTGATCATTGCTCTTGTTAGGTTAACTGTGTATATAAATAAGCTAGCAAGATTATGACCATCATCATCGTTACTGTAATGAGATATTGAATATAAAAATTTGCTTACAACTTCTGCGATGAATTTTAGAAAACCCTACAAAATTACCAAGAAACAATTCCATCCGAACATAATATTATCTCAAAGTAAACTAATGATATATTTGATTCAGGTATACAGGTCTCTGCAAAACATGTAAAAATAAATAAGAAAAAGAATGTGCGTTAATTATATAAATGACAATTTTAAAAGTATTAATTTCAAAGAAGAAATAGACTATTGAAAATATTATATGGTGTATGGTGTGTGTTTGAATGGGATACTATCCACTTGCTAGCTATCTTATCTGTCATCAACAAATAATTATACATACCTCCCCAGGACCCCAGCTATTTTTCTCACAAATAATATATGAAGTATCATCTGTGATGGTTTATAATCAGGTGTTACGTAATTATTTTTCTTGATTGGACTGATGATAAGTATATAAATGGCCGTTAAGAAAATTATCCTCCAATATATGTACCTTTATTTTGATTTGCATGTTTGTTAACTCAAGATTTCTTAATAATATATTCATAAATCAACATAAATGACATCGAAAAAATGAGCAATGCCGGTGATACATCGAAAAACAATGACTCCAGGTTACATATAAGAAAATCTAAAACCTACAATCAGAAACATACAAGAAGAGGATGAATCGGTCATTAGAAAGACAATTAGAGAACGAACTCTCGACTCCGGTGAACACCAACGGTGTGTCCAAAACGGCGTAGTTGTATATATGTTTACCAAGACGAAAACTTGGTCATATATAAGCATCTATATATGTTTCTTTTTGTTAAAAATATATAGGTTAGCCGTTTAGGACTTTAGGTTCTTTTAATTTATAAGATTTTTGTTTGATATATGATACTAGGTGATTTTCCCGTGCTCATGCACGGGCATGTATATTTATAAAATAAATATACAATAATAACTGATTGATATTTACTTTAATTTTAAATTAATTTATAGTTTGTATGTCTAATTTATATTATAATATTATATTACTTTAATTATATATATATATATATATAATTTTAGATATGTTATATTTAGTCTATTTTATTGTTTTTACGGTTGATTTAGTTATCATTTAGATATATTGGATTCTATCTATTTCTCTGAATTCAAATATAATATTTTATATTTTAAATATATTAAATTTATATTATAATATTATATTACTTTAATTATATATATTTTGTGTTATTGAAAATATATTTAAATTAAATATTACTATTTTATGAACTTTCTTTTTTTTTATTAAACCATATTTTATATACTTATATTTTCGTTTTTAAATAGTTTTGTAAATTTTATAAATGTTCACTTTTTATTTTCTATTATTATTTGGAAATTTTTAAAAAGGAAAGAATATTTAATTGTATTTTTAATTAATTAGGGGTATCATAGTAATCAACCAGCGTGAGAGTTAACGTGAGCGCGACACCTAAGAAAATGACTTATCAAATAACATTATAGAGATACACTTGCTAATGGACTTAAATAGTCTAACCAAAAGTATTTTGTAGCCTTTTTAGCTTACTAGAAAATTCATTGGGCTGTCATTAGCTATGTTTGAACAAACCTGATGTAGAGAGAATATTTAGGAAATATTCTTAATATCTTATTATTTATTTAGATAATTATAATTAATGTTTTAGGGTTTTATGATTTTGTTATATATAGCCGTTTAGGCTTAAGAGTTGTAGACAGTTTTTGATGATTAATAAAAGTTAAGAGATTTCTCTTTATTCCTTGTTTTCGGTAGATCATAGGTGATCTCAANTTTTGATGATTAATAAAAGTTAAGAGATTTCTCTTTATTCCTTGTTTTCGGTAGATCATAGGTGATCTCAACGAATTTAAGAAGACATTGATCTTAGGTATTCTTAGACTAAATAAGATCCTTGTATTATAATAGTTTTCCGGGTATTCTCAGAATCAACGGATCACTAGTTCTATCCCTAGAAGTTTCCGCTACATCAGTTGGTATCAGAGCTGACGTTTTGGTTTCTTAATCAAAACTCGATTCTGGAATCATGGAGAATTTGTTTGTGGAGAGTGAAGAAACCGTTTATATAGAGATTACTGGAGATCCAGTTTACGATACTTATGATGATGATTACGAACACTTCATCATATATAAAGTATCGCAAGACATCCCCGTGCATCATGACGTCCAGCAATCCAACTCAACCAATCCCATAAAAGGTAGTGTGCTTGTGATACGTATGGCATATTGTGCTCTAATACAATCACATCACGTGATGGTGTATGGCAACAAAGCAAAGATTCAAGAGGTTACGTGTCTTTTTGGTGACTTGCATGTGAAGATTTCAAGTCTTGAAGGTTTTGGGATTGAAGACCACGGTTAAGATTCGAGGGCGAATCTTCTCCAACCCGGAGAGAATGATGTAGAGAGAATATTTAGGAAATATTCTTAATATCTTATTATTTATTTAGATAATTATAATTAATGTTTTAGGGTTTTATGATTTTGTTATATATAGCCGTTTAGGCTTAAGAGTTGTAGACAGTTTTTGATGATTAATAAAAGTTAAGAGATTTCTCTTTATTCCTTGTTTTCGGTAGATCATAGGTGATCTCAANTTTTGATGATTAATAAAAGTTAAGAGATTTCTCTTTATTCCTTGTTTTCGGTAGATCATAGGTGATCTCAACGAATTTAAGAAGACATTGATCTTAGGTATTCTTAGACTAAATAAGATCCTTGTATTATAATAGTTTTCCGGGTATTCTCAGAATCAACGGATCACTAGTTCTATCCCTAGAAGTTTCCGCTACATCAAAACCACAGGTCTCTCTAATTCACAACCAGTTAGTTCCTTCTTGTAATCGGGCTTCTAGTTTCTGAAAACATGAGATGTTAAGCTGGACTTTCCACACATTTTAATTAATATTTTTTATCTAAATAAATATTTCTTTAAATAATGTTTCAATATAATTTATTTAAATGAATGAGTTTAAATGGAGTTACCGTGTTAAGATTTATTTTAAAACCGGTCAATTCCCCATTAGAAGCAGAAGCTGAAACATTGAAAATGACGATAATTCAAATGAGGAAGCTAGGATATCACAGAGTCACTTTTACTGGCAATTCCTTTATCTCTATGATACACTCGCAAAACAATCCCATCAGGTTTGCCACAACACCCTAAAAGGAACTCATTGTCCAACTCACATATTGTAAATCTGGCAAGAGGGAATGGATACAACTTCTGCTTTCAAAAAAGATCTTTGTAATATTGTTACGGACGAGTTAGCCAGAGAGGGTAGGATTAAAAACTTAAGCTATGTTGTAAGTTAGAAAGACAACATGTAATATATCCTAATGTTTAATAACAAAGTTGACGACAAAAAAAAGATTCATTTTAAAATAATAATTAAACTAAATAGAGATTTACACCTGCTTGTGTTCAAAGAAAAAAAATAAACAACATTGTTTTAATTTAAAAGTTTATGGAATTATGTTATTGTATTCTTCAATCAAAATGAGTTCAACCAGAAAATATAATTCTATCCAAATATATTTAAATGAGTTAAAAACTTGATAAATATAATAATTTTAAATTGCAAAAATGGTTTCAATAAACCATTACACCAATCGAATTAGTCTTTTTAAAATCTCCAGCTTTGATAAAATTAGTCGTAATAAATAGAGAGGAATGATAAAATAACTGGCATTAGGTTTGATTATCCGGATGTTGTTTAATCTGAAAGTAGAAGACATAATCATCACGGTCTTAAGTTAACTTTACCAACAAGTATAACCCCCTCTGACATTAATCATTTCTACCAAAAGCCTCTGCTCTTCTTTGCAAAACATAACTCAATTCTAAAATCAAACTCTTGTTTTGTTCTCTGAACAATGAACTATGATCATTTTTAGGTTTTATTCTATATTTATTTTGAAGTTAATTTTTCTGTCTGGTCCCAAATCTCCCTGACTAAAGAAAACTAGGTCAAAGCCAAAGTGTACACATGATATTGCAGGACCACAAATTATTTCAACACCTGATTATTACTTACTAGCTAGTACTGCAGCTTTTAATCTTTCCTTTAATCACATATATAATGACCTCATGATTAATGTTTCTTCAGTGTCAACCAAAGCTCGGTCTCAGAAAAATGAATATTAACATAATCCATGTGATCAAATAAGCTACTTTTAAGGTTTTACAATTCAGTCAAAAAGTGATTTAAGCTTCAGTTTCATAGTTTTCACTTTTCACCAAACATCATATTTGATTTCTAAAAATAGAACTATATATATGTCATGTATTTGTTAATTATATATCAGTTTTGATATAAAAAGGATTTACTTTACCGAAGACAAAGGAAGCCCATACAAATGATTTGTTCACATGCAACATCATACATCTCTCAACTAATCTTCTTGCACTTAGTTTTATATTAGTCCTTCAAATTCCAGTAGGGACCCCTTATGTATATATGTATATATCTTGAGAAGAAAATATAGATTAATTAAGAAAAGGCCTAACAACCCCTTATATTATTTGCATAAACAAGTCTATATATACTAGCATCACAAATTCACAATATCATATGCCAGACAGACTATACGAAACTTTATAATATACACCAAAACAATGCAAAAGCCATCTCAAAGAACTCCTGAGACACACTCAGACTCCTTCACCATTCATATAAACGAGCCATCTAATCATCATCGTTACCATAATTACAACAACAAAACCTTCATAGGGTTCTCGTCATCCATGAAGATCTTCTCCAAATTCCGCAAGATTTTCATGAAGATCATCTTCACCCTTCCATCCTCCTCTTCCTCTGCCACTAGGCGCCGTCGCAACCCCGCAGACTCCTGCAGTGGCGTTGAGAGGCTAGAGACGCCGAAGATATCATGCAGTAATTCATACTACTCCTCTCATTCTCACTATAGTGAAGCTATCTCAGATTGCATTGACTTTTTCAATAAGTCATCGATTAATAATAATAATAATAATATGTCTCACCATGAACGTGAAGACCAGATTGTTCATGATCAAAACTGTTTTTACGTGTAGTCAAATCGTGTCATTTTTTTTTCTTATTCTTCTTTTATTATTCTAAATAACTCGGTTGTTTTTCTTCTTGTGCTCGTGTATCAACATCAGTTTTATGTTTTGAACAGTTTCATCATATATGTAAACTGTTAAATCTGTTATAATACTTGAGGTTATATTCCTTTAGCATAATTAGTGTGTGTATGTGAGTCTGTGACACAAGGCTTCATGAATTTAATTCTATGTGTATCTTCTCATAATAAATATTATAACATGTTTGATGATAAATAGGAGAATAAGAGAGCTCCATTAAGTTGTGATTTGCAAAATTAACTCTAGCAGATAGGTTAACGAGATCAAGTAACCTCTCTATCTCAGCCAACAAACTGTATTCACAGGCTCCGCATGGTTCACTTTCTATACTCAATCAACCAAAACGGACTATCTCACATGAATGGTAGAGAACATTACAGCGTTTTCCATCTACAACGAAATCCGAATCAAACATTGTTATGGAAAAATAATTCAAATTCATGCATTTTTGCTAAGAAAAGTATCAAATCATATATCAAAAATCTCTAATGAAAACCATTGAAAGCTCAAAGCAATCCATTTTGCATAACCTCTTAGACCACACCAGATGGGAGACGAAGGACGAGCTGTCCACCCATTAAACTGTTCCCAATTAAAAAAAAAAAAGCAGAAAAAGTTCTAATTAAATACTTAGAAAATCAACACTTTTCAACAATATTGTCTATATACATCGCCCATTATAGATAATTTTACCTCTGAACATAGTAATAGCAGAAATCTGCAAGAATGAAGGTTTGGATGATTTCGGAGACAAGGACCATTACAGGCCATAATCCATACCCTAATGCCGTCAGTACTCTCCCTCTCGTATCCAACACCTACACGCATTAATTTAAATCATCTTTCACAAGCTTGTTCGACAACATAACAATAATGAGTTCATATATTGTGTAACTCAAAGAACCTGAAGGATCCAGTGTGCACAATTCAAGAACCTAGCGATCCCCAAAGCAAACACGTAATGTGCTGTGAATGGTTCCACGATCTGACAATAAAGACATACACATTTGAAGAAGATTCAGACATAACTTTGTTTTTTTTTCTTTTATGTAATAATAGCGCATAAAGGAATAATGTACCTTAGTGTTCTGCATGAGTCTTAGCTGAGGAAGAACTGAAACAGCTTCAAGATAAACACAAAATGCCCAAAATAGCCTGTTTATGACGTGGTGATGTGTTGACGGATGTATTAGGAAAGACACAACAGCACATGGGACTACCTGAAGCAAACAAACAAAAAATTCTCAAAACAAATATTATAAACGTTTAGTATAAATACTCATAAAACCAATAAACAAAATCTCATGCATAGAGTTCAAAACAAAGAAAGCCTCTTGATTATTCTCCAAGTAACCTAGCATTTTGCATTGTATCTAATTGAGACACAAAAGAGTTTTAGAAACTTACAACGTAGTAGATGACAAAATTGTCTTTATCCTCCATATAAGTGGGTTTAAGCTTGAGACGGATCATATAGATGACCCAAAGAGTGGTGAAGAAAGCAGCAGAATCGAGCAATGTGTGAAGATCAAACTCCATTACAAAACTACAATACAATCGAACGGCTAGAAACAGAGCCGTGAGTTCCTGCGTCTTGAGAGATATCCCTGTTGAATATCATCAAAATGTCATTATCATCACAAGGATCAAACAATGTTTTCTATTTACCAGCGCAAGTCCTCTCCTTAGTGAGCTTGTAGATAAGAACGGAGATTCCGAGGGCATGGACAGCCTCGGAAGCTAAGAAAAGGTATTCGTTGTCATGGACAGTCACCCTTAGGAAAACGAGCACCGTCATTGCCGTAACCACACCGAGATAGGCTTTTACCTTCGGAGGCTGTCGGCTAATCCACGACATTGCGAACTGAATCCGATTCTTCTCCGCCATCATCTTTCAGATTCTCTACAAAAATTCGCGAAAGATGACCAGATCTCTCTGTCTCTCTTGGTTTACGTTTTGAGACCGATCAGTGTAGTGATTAATGATTGTTACACAAGTAACTTCATCTTCGTTTTCATTTGAGAATGAATCTGTATATTTTCTTAAACGCAACCATACATAACGCCATGTCTTTTCGCCGAGAGGACACGTGGGGGGGGGGGGGCAAGCTAGAGATTTTGTTAGGTAAGAAGTGAGACTGATGATAGTTTTGTAGTTTTAGCAATGGTACGTGTCTCTCCATCTATGTTATTACTCAGTGGTAGGCCTAGTACAGGCCTAGACTTAACTAGTATTGATATACATTTTAAATTTATATTAGATATTTTTTTTCCTAATTTTTATTTTTTTTTGATGAATTATAAAAAATTAGATATACAAAATACACAAATTATGGATTTACACTAATTTTTTTTTTGATTAAACATTTTTTATATATGATTAGATCGATTTGGACTAGTTTTCACTAATTTAAACAGTGTAAACCGATTTGAATCATATAAAATGAAACTTTTAAAAGTTTCAGCTATAACTGATTTGTAGCCTAAACTCCGTCTAAACAAATTACTCCCTCCGTTTCATATTAAGTGTCGTTGTAGAGAATTTTTTGCGTTACAAAATAAGTGTCGTTTTCGATTTTCAATGCAAAATTTATTAATTTTAGGTGTAATTTGTTTTTCTATTGGTTAAAATATGATTAGGTGTATGGGTAATTGTGTTTTTATATAGGAAATATGTAAAATTAACTGTTTCCTTAATCTGTGTGCACAGCTGTAGAGTGACACTTATAACGAAACAGAGGGAGTATTAGAGTATCTTCAATTCCACTACAAAATAAAATGGAAAATGCAGTTATGAACAGACGACAAAAAAGAAGAAGACATTACTCCATAAACCGGTTTGGTTTTAAACACGAATTCACAAATGGTACCATACCATGCTCCGGTTTATTCAAAATTTGGTACGAGTGGTGTCGTAGCTTTAAAGTTTAAACGGGCATATTTGAAATGGAGGCCCATTAAAGAGCGCGTGTATCTCTGTAAAGTAAACTCCAAATCTAAAGAGGACTTGCAACTCTTAACGGTCCAAAAATCTCTCTCTCTTTCTCTCCTTCTTCGATTGCACCTTAGAACTTTGTGTGCTGCGAGGATGGGTGTGAAATCGGTTTCTCGAGAATCTTCGGACCGGAAAAGCTGGGACAAAATCTTCAATAATTTGGTCAGAATTCTACAGACGAAACATGAAGAGATCCAATCGCTTCTAGAAGACAGGAAGAGTATCGAAGATAAGCTCAAGACCAAACACGAAAACTGGATCTTTGATGTTCGGAACTACGAGGAACAACTCTCTCTCGTAAGATCTCTACCTCTCTTTTCTCTCAATTCCTTGTTTTGGGGAAAAAGTTAGGGTTTTTAGGGTTCCCAATTGCCTTAATTTTTTTTTTTGGGTTTTTTTTTAACAGATGAAGAGCGAAATTGAAGCGATGGAGATGATACAGTTCGCTGAAACATCTAAATCCAATCTCTTGTATGTAGCAAAAGAAAAGGATCGTTCTATATGCAATTTGAAATTAGGTATAGTGAAATAAAAATCAGTTAAAGTTGGCTCCTTTATTTACCTTTATGAGAACAAAGTTTCATCCTTTTTTCTTCTTCTTTGTTTTCATGTGAATTGCAGAAAAAGCGTTGGATGAGTTAAAAGACTTCAAGGCTTGGATTGATTTTCTCACTCTGAACACAAGTGTAAGTCAAAGTTTCAAACTTTATAACCTCTTGTCTTTTTTTTTTTTTTTTGGTTTTGGAAACTCATATGAATTGTGTATATGCAGAAAGTAAACGATGACTCAGAAGCTGCAGAATCATTAGAAGTAAAAATCAGGAAGCTGAAGCTTGAGTATGAGAAGCTTGCTTCTGAGAAGAAGTGTGAAGTATCTGATCTTGTAGGAGAAAAAGGGTTTGCTTGGAGTCAGTTCAAGTGTATCGAAAGTGGGTTTACTGATAAGTTAAAGAGGAAAGATGAGGAGATTGTTCAAGCAAACAAGAAGATAGCGAGTCTTGTGTCTTATCAAGAGAAGCTTCAGTTGTCTAGTTGTGAGAAGGATGAGATTATCTCAAGCTTGAAGGCTAAGGTTACTGAAATGGAAGGTGAGTTTAGTAAGAAAGATGAGGAGATTGAGAAACTGTCAAGGGAACTAGAGTCTTTGAAGAAGTCTCGTAGCTTTACACCGGTTTTAACACGATGCACAACACGTGATAAAGGCAGCAATGGTGGTAATATGGGATCTCAGGTGAGTACAAAGAAGGGGAAGTCTGCTTCACCACCAAATGATAAGGTACCCTACTTATATGTATGTTTTGTGTGTGTGTTTACATCTTGTTTTTTTTTACTGAAGCAGCATAGAAGCTTTATCTTATACTTTTTGAATCTCTTCAGGAAATTAGAAGCTCGAAGAGGAAAAGAGTGAACAAGGCGACAGAAGTCACAGTTTCAGAAACTCCAAAGCTGTTCACTTCAACATTTAGACTTCCCAAGTTAAAGTCTCCATCATCTGGAGCCATATAAGATTTTATCTTCTATTAGATTTAGGGTTAGAGAAATATGCAATCTCTGTATTTAGGATCATCCCACTGATGTAATTAGCTTACTACCCCCAGCATAATTCGGTTTATTTTGTTAGGAACCTTGCATTGCATCTAACAGCTTTTATATATTTCTTTTGCTGTATTATTTGTCTTGAAACATAAAGATTATAAGCAGTGCAATGTAAGAAAGATTTAAGAGGCTTTGAAGAGCAGCTTTAACGATTTGATTTTGTTCGTAGCTGAGACCTTTTTCTTTCTTTTCTTGTTGGCTTTTGATATATTTGCATAGATCATATGCTTCTTGTTTGCAGAGCCAATCTGTGTAAGTGAGCTTTGTCCTTGACCCAAATCATATCCAACCACTCCGGCTAATGAGACTCTACTATCAGTATTGGTTCACTCAGGTGTAGAGATGTTGTATTTTACCGGTTTTTTCAGGGAACCGCTTAAAGTCCGGTTTGGTCCGGTTCAACGTAGTAATCTTTCTTTTTTTTGGGTTAGAGGATAAAACGTCGACGTATCAAGTTGTCCTTTATTTTTTTACTGCTTCTTTTACTCTGGTTTTAGATTTGTGCCTGAAAAAGCTTTTCCTTGTTGATTTGGTGATTATACCAGAGAGATCCACTTAAGGATTTTCTACGAGACACTTCACAAGCAAGTTCCAACTAGCGAAATGGCTAAAGACTTGGTGAGCCTTTTTTACATATATAGGTGTCATTCTGTTTATTATGATTTGAGTTCTACACCAAAGTGCAGCCCTTCTGGTTGTTCTGTCACGTACACTGCTTCTTATGTATATTTGCAAAGGAGAAAAGTAAGTATACGAAGAAGAGTTAAGTATGTGACGGTGAGATAGATATATCAAAGATTTAAGTTACTGGATCAAGAAGCTCTACAAGAAACGTGTGAAACAGTGGGATTCTTGAACGTTTGACTACTCTGTGTACAAGAAGATCCTAATAATCGTCCTACAATGTCAAACGTTGTTTTCACCCGCAGTGATGCAGCTTCTGAAATCCAAAAAAACTGGCTTTTGTACTTAGACGTTGCCCTACATTAAGCAAAGGTTCTTCATCTACCAAACTAGAAACTTGCTCCCAGAGTGAGCTTATCATAAACTCTTGAAGATGGAAGACAGTAACAACAGCTCTTCACATTTGAGCGATTAGCTATTTTTCTCTATTTGTTCTCACTAAGAATACAAGATTCCAACAGAAATGTAATAACTAATAAACTTAGACATATAACAGAGAGATTATTAAGATGAGTGACGATGATATGCTTTAGGTGATACGCATGTGAAATCTTTAAAGAATTAATTAGGTGTTCCTAGTATATCAATAAACATGCTCGATACTTTGCCATAGGGCATAAATACATTGTCTTTTTGGAAAGTTGAAACTGCTGGCTTATTTAAAGAACTTGAGGCAGTTTGACTATTCAGAGAAAATGGTCTCTTCCTCTTTGCCGCTGTCCTCTTACTTGGGACCATATGTTCATTAAGTGATGGTTATGTCTACGAAGAAAAGTCTTGAAACTTGGAGAAACTATTTCACTCCTTCCCTTTATTTAATAGACTTGAAACAACTTGTGATCATCATCAAACAAAATGGCCGCTCCTCCGGCGATGAAAGAAGACGGAGAATATAGAAACTGGGCGGAGCTTCCGGATGGACTGACGTCATCGATCCTGAGCAGGCTCGACACGGTTGACATATTGGAAAACGCTCAGAAAGTGTGTACATCATGGCGTCGTGTTTGTAAAAACCCTGCCATGTTCCGGAAGATTGACATGCGTAACTCTGAAGATATGGGGTACAGCATCGAGATCATTAAGATTGTCATGGGTATCTCTGGAGACAACCTCGAGATCATGTGCCGTCACGCAGTGGATCGTAGCCAAGGAGGTTTGGTTGAGATTAACATTCGCCATATCGGTTCTGATTCTCTCCTCAACTACATCGCCGATAGGTTATATCATTCTCTCTCTCTCTCGTTAATATGTTTTTCGTCTTCTTTTTTAACTGTTACATGCGATTACTTGCAGTTCAAGGAACCTGAGAAGTCTCAAAGTTGCATTAATCCCCACGATAACAATTGGGGGACTTACAGAATCACTTGTGAAGCTTCCTTTGCTTGAAGAACTACAAGTCTCATACAGCACACTCTGGGGAGACTCTCTGAAAAAAATAGGGCAGTCTTGTCCTAAGCTGAAGACACTTTTGTTACACTGCTTTGGAATCGCTGGCGTGTGTGATGATGAAGATGCTCTAGCTATCGCTGAAACAATGCCTGGACTTCGCACCCTCCAACTTCTAAGTAACGGTTTGACAGACGCTGGTCTAAACGCTATTCTTGATAACTGTCCTGATCTGGAAAATCTTGATTTGAGTCTTTGTCTCAACGTTTTTCTTGTTGGAGATTTGGAGAAGCGTTGTTCGGAGAGGATGAGTGTTTTTATACGACCTAATGACTCCACTCATGAGTGATACTGAAGATGAGTGTTTTTGTTGACCGTGAACACTTATTGTGGTTTGTCTAGTTTCTTTTTACTTTAAACATTCTTTGTGTCGGTGTCTCATATCATGGTTTGGAGTCCAACAGTATGTGATGAGTTAAACTCGAGAACTGTGAGTGAGATGTATTGTTTGCGAGCCACGTTAAGTGAACGGAGGTTGGATATCAAGTCTGTAAGGCCTTTCAGTTTCAGAACTTTATCTAGTCAAACCAGAAGAGGGCCCAAAAGTAGATAATGAGCCCATTACAGCAAAGCGATGTCGTATCATACGCGTTAAATAATAAACCCTAGAGTGGCTTCAACATCCTTTAAAAAGTCATCGAGGCTTCATTAACAGTATCGCCGGTTGAAAACTTGTTCTATCTCGGCTCTCTTTTTGTTAGTCATAGATTAGAGCTTCGATTTTGTTTTATGTTACAAAAGATAGTTGATTAGATTAGTTTTTTCTGTGGATGTGAAGGAAGGTGAATATTCAAATGATGAGATTTGATCTAAAATTCTCACGACGGTCGTCTGAGACTATGTGTCGATTGATGTACCGATCGCTTTTCTCTGATGAATTTTTTTTTTTTTCTTCATTATTTCCAAACCTTCTTTTCGTTATTGAACCAAATTTTGTTGATTTCATATAAGACATTTATATTACCAGACGAATATCAAAACTTATCATGTTGAGATTAATGATCATATAGTTCAACAACCTTAAGAAGATGTCTCATTCATTAATTTATGACAAAAAAACTTGAACTATTATAAATCTCGCTTGAAAAAATATTAGGATTATTGCAAATTACAATTATGTAATTTAACTGATTAGTGGTAATTAGTTGAAAACTCTGTTTCATGTTTGGTTGTATCCTTGAGTAGTGTACATTAAGGTTTGATCAAACAACACATAATGAAGGTTCCGTTAAGTCACGTCATGAAGATCTGGTTTGTTTGAGATCAGTTTTGGTTGATATTTGATTACAAAAAAAAATATGGTTGCGATCATATACTTCGTTTTAATTTTAGAAAGTGTCTCTGCAAAATAAATAAATTACAAAAATATCTCCAGAAGAATTATCAGAACGACTCTCGATGAGATGGATCAAAACAAAGTGATGTGTTTAGTATTAAAGAATGAATGTATCACGGTAAAAATACATCCATTGAAGAGCTACCTTTACACATAAACAGTCAAATTTTTTTTTAATTTAACCAACATTAGGATTGTGAACTGAAATGTTGTACTATTAAACATTGAAATCAAACTCGTTAAAAGTAAATTATCGTTGCGGTGGCAGTAAAATCGATATCAAGAACGTAAATGAAGCTAAATAAGGCGATTCAACAAGGTAGAGAAGTGTAGTGGTCAGGTTTGAGATTATAGGCCATATGGCTCTAACTGTTGAAGTGTTTGGCCTTTTGTGGGTAATAGTGAATCTCATGATTCTTGTTTAACGAGCTTACTTTTCCATAACAATGCAGCTAACTAATTAGCTTACATCACCATGACAGTGGAGGCAAAGAAAGTTGCTTATGATCTCATTTGGGTTGGTTATGGTCGATCGTAGAAACAGATAAACAAATCTTGTAATTTCCAACTATTACTCAGTAATAACATCACGGCACACTCTTACACAATCCTCGCGCGTGGCATACTTGTGTTTTGTACGTGCCGGAACTTCATTATGCTATTCCGGTTCGGTTTTTGCGGTTGGTATACTCTTACAACATACAATATTCAAGGAATTATTTGACGGTTAATCAACAGTTTTAAACTCTTACAGCATACATACATACATACATACATATTAACCGTCAAATAATTCGTGGTCCAATAAATATTGGTACGAACATGTCTCATACATACAAAATATAACGCGGATAATTATTTGATTACAAGTATCAACTAAGGTTAATGAACTAAAATCACTTAGTAATGACATTGTTGATGTGTGTTATATGTTTTTTTTGTTTTTGAAATAGATGTGTTATATGTACAGAGAAGATATTTAATGAAAAAAAACAAGAGATATATAAGACCTGTCTAGTTCAAATAAACCGTAACCACAATTTTGATCAAAGGAAAGATACTCTCTTCTTCAAACCTCATCCACCCAAAACACACACACACTACAAATGTCTTTGTAATCCTCTTCTCTTATCTCTCTCCTTGTGATTCCTTTTTTATACTCCCTTCAAATCTTCTCCTACAGTTTCATTTCATTTTCCTCTGCCATGGCGTCTACTTTGAATGCTGCTGTTTCCCTCACATCTTCAAAGTCTTCTTCTCTTCCAGCTAGGAGCAGTGCCATTGCTCCTGAAAGGATCAGGTTTGGTAAGGTATTGTCTTAGCTTCCCTCCACATGATTATGATTCAACAATACCATGCAAAAGTTCTGTAGCTTAGATTCTAGAGACACTCTTCTTCAAGTGTCCTGAGTTTCATGTGGTATTTGATGGGATGTTGATTTAGTCTCTTTGGTTTTGTTGTTGTTGTGTTGTGAAGGGTGCTTTTTACTACAAAGGCAACAATGTAGTGACAAGCAGAAGAGTGGTTTCAGTAAGAGCTGAAGTCACAACGGATGCTCCTGCACCGGTGAAGAAAGTAGAGAAAGAGTCAAAGAAGAACGAGGAAGGTGTGATTACTAACAAGTACAGACCAAAGGAGCCTTACACCGGCAAAGTCCTTCTCAACACTAAAATCACAGCTGATGATGCTCCTGGAGAGACCTGGCACATGGTTTTCAGCCATCAAGGTTTTGCATTTGCTTCTGATCTTAGTTTAGATAGTTCTATGTGTGATTCCTATCTTGATGTAGCTGTGTTTGTGTGTCTTTGATAGGAGAAATCCCCTACAGAGAGGGACAATCTGTTGGTGTGATTGCAGATGGTGTTGACAAGAATGGGAAGCCTAACAAGGTCAGGCTTTACTCAATTGCAAGCAGCGCTCTTGGAGATCTTGGCAACTCTGAAACCGTAATACACTATTGACTCTTGACGACTTATTCTAAAATGAATGTGATTTGTTTTGTGGGGTTAGCTGAATGAACATGTTTGTTGCAGGTGTCTTTGTGTGTGAAAAGGCTTGTTTATACTAATGACGCAGGAGAGGTTGTTAAAGGAGTTTGCTCAAACTTCTTGTGTAAGTTCCAGTGGAAAGAATGTACTTGTATGTTTTCCTTCAAGATATTTCACCTATTTCCTATTTTTGTTTCAGGTGACTTGAAACCAGGAAGTGATGTCAAGCTCACTGGTCCTGTAGGAAAAGAAATGCTTATGCCTAAGGATCCAAACGCCACTGTTATTATGGTATGGTCTTTACCTTAAACCTCTATAAGTTCTGATTCTTGAGACATCTTTAATCACTAATAGAACTTTTTTATTTTTCTTGATGACGACAATAGCTTGCCACAGGGACAGGAATAGCTCCTTTCAGGTCTTTCTTGTGGAAGATGTTCTTTGAGAAACATGATGACTACAAGGTAAGTGAATACTCTGGTCTTTGAGTTTGACCAAATATGTCCAAGCCTAACTAACATCTTTGCAATTGTTGTTATGCAGTTTAATGGCTTAGCTTGGCTGTTCTTGGGTGTACCAACCACTAGTTCATTGCTCTACACAGAGGCACATACACACTAACTCTTCTTCTGGTTTCTCAAATCCCTTTGGACTGAAAAGAAACCAAATCTCATAGTTGTTGTTGTTGTGTGACTGAATATCTGCAGGAGTTTGACAAGATGAAAGCAAAAGCCCCTGAGAACTTCAGGGTTGATTATGCCATAAGCAGAGAACAAGCAAACGACAAAGGAGAGAAAATGTATATCCAAACCAGGATGGCGCAATACGCACCTGAACTATGGGAGTTGCTGAAGAAAGACAACACATTTGTGTACATGTGTGGTCTTAAGGGAATGGAGAAAGGAATTGACGACATCATGGTCTCATTAGCTGCTAACGACGGTAATAAAAAGAAGAGCTAATACTCTAAATATTGACTACTCTGTTGCATAATAACAACATTGTGATGGTGATGATCATTTTGTGTAGGTATTGACTGGTTTGATTATAAGAAGCAGTTGAAGAAGGCAGAGCAATGGAACGTTGAAGTCTACTGATTTAACAACATTCCATTGGCAAAGTATAGTGTAATTTTTCAAGATCCAAGTTTCTGTAATCTGAACATAAGTTTATGTTTTAGATAATACATTATACTGAACATGGTTTCTGTTACATTTACCATTTCATTCATTGCCATTACTTTGCTCTAATATAAAGTGGTACATTGATAAGAGTCAGAGAGAGTTGTCCTCAACTGCCAATAAATGTGAAACCAAATTCAATTGCCAATGACGAAAGTCTAATGCTGTTCTCAGGTAATGAGGAAACAACTCATTGCAGAAAACAATGTTAAAAGAGAAACTCTGCTAAAGAAAACCTTTGCAGCAAAACAAGAAGACATCAAAGCCAACAAAAGAGATGATAAACTAGAATCTTGGAAAGAGTAGCATCCTAACGGATTTTCTTCTTCATCTTTATCTCCACACCATTGGAACCTTCGCAAATCTTGTTCCAGCAACGGTAAGAAATGAGTAAAGGAATCAAAACCCACCATCCATTAGCGAAAATGTAGTAAGAGTAATAGTAGAAAGAGTTCGTTGCAAAGTTATCTCCTTCCAAGAAAGCAGTAATGAAATAGACAAGACATCCGTAGAGCTGGCCTAGAGAGATAGCAAGCTGAAGCACGTAGCTGTACGACTTCCTCTTAGCAATAGCATATCTTTTATCATCCAACAAAAAAAAAGTCAATTAGTTTGAGGAAAATGTTGACAAACATGAAAATATGTAGAGAGAGAGACTTACACAGCTAGAAGACAAGCAGGACCTTCAATAACAGCAGTGATGCCTTCAACAGCTATAACTGCAGAGTCTCTGCCTGCGTATCTCGAGTCACCTTTGCTGTATTCTTTCCCTATAGAACAAACGTATAGATTAAGTCAATACAGAGGCCATGTTCGTGTTTACAGTTTTTAGACTAATCACAACTACTAGTCCTTATTTCAAATCGATAAATTAGAGATTTAAAAGTTAAAAACAAACAACATTTGATCGCAGGTCACAGCTAGAATAGCTTTGTCTAATTGGACAAGAGGAAGAAGAAGATTAACTTACAAACTTCAGCAAGGTAACAAGAAGTGTTGTCCTTGTAAAACTCAGGGGAGAAAACGAAATAGCCTTCAAGAACCATGTGAGTGAGACCAGTGAAAGCCCACCAGCACATTAACAATCTATCAAGATGAGCTTTCTTCCTACCTGTCACCATCACAACAAGAAGATGCAATTATCTAATTAGTGATTAGATTCCAGTCAATTCTCGAAAGTGAAAAGGCTTGAAAACTAGCTAGGATCACTAGATTACACTCCCATCTGCTCAATTCAAATCATCAAATCAGAAAGCAATGCAGAGAAATGGGAAGCTGGGATTTTACCGAGTAGAAACCAGACGAAGGTGACAACAAAGAGAGAAGCACCGAGGTAGAGAGTGAGGATGTTTGACATGGACATGGTGATTGGAACGTATCCAGGCAGTTTCAGATCTCTGGGAACATAAGGATGCGCCGCTGCTTCCTCCATCTCTGTTTCACTTTGGGAGATAGAAGAGGTTGAACAAAAACAAAACAGGTCTTGTGTTTCTCTCTGGTCAACTACTTAATATATATATATATGTGAACTCTTAGATCTGAGAGAGAGAGAGAGAGAGAGAGAGAGAGTCCCTCTTGAGTCCTCTCCCACTACGTAACTCGTTTTTGTTTTGTTTCGGCAACTTGTAGTTTTCTTTTTGTCAACCAAACAAGATTCTTTTTTATAATTATGATGAGATCAACAGATAGGCACACATTGAATCGAAGATAATGTGGTTGGAGTAGGACCATCGTGTAGTTGTGGACACGGACTTGATCATCTCCGAATTCGGATTATTTTGGAATAAAATCGTTTCAATCGCAGTGAATGGAAACTATAATATAAACAGTAATAGTAGTTTAAGAAATAAATTAAAAGACTAGACGTTTTTTTTTTATGTTAACTATTTCATCTTGCGTCTCAAAAAGCTTAAGACCATTTACAATACATGATGTTGTAGATTTGCTACATAATTCAGAAAGTTTTTACTTTTGTCAGAGATGAAGATTGTTTGTGAGGAGACGGAGGAGTGTCACACTCCCTTGGCTTCTTGGTTGTGTCATTGTTGTCTTCTTTCCGCCTCTGGTCCCCTGCAAGTTAAAATTTCAGAACGTTAAACAACAAACATTGTCAAAGTTTGTGGCTCTTTGTTGATGGTTAGTATGTATACCTTTGGCTCAGCGACATCATCCTCAATCTCCAACGTGTTTATTTCTCTTGTTAACAACACAGATGAAGCAGGTTGGAGCCTCCTGTTACATTGACAAAAAAAGGTTTTTCTACTTAAAAGTAAACACATGAAAAGAAGAGACAAAGAAATATTAGCAAGAGAATAACCTTCTTGGTTTCTTCTGTTCCTTCTTCTGCTTTTTAGTTTCTGCTTCACGGGCAAGTATTTCAATTTCACGACTCTTAGATGAATCTGATTCCTCTTGATCATGAGTCTCGGCTAATTTAACCTACAATTGAGAAAGAACAACTTTTAGCTATATCAGTTTTGGAGCATTATGGCATTTCATTTGTGGAGGAGGAGAATGACCAAACCTGTGGTTTCTCAATCTGGTCATCTTTGATGTCCAAGTCATCCATTTCCTCAGCTAGCAATCTGGATGAAGCTGGCAACAGTCTTCTGAGTCTGCAAAAAGACCAAAGAAAATTGAGACTGAGGGAGAGAAAGAGAGTGTCCTACAGCTTCGCAGAGGATTATAAAAGTTGCTTGATACAATGTGTAAATCAGAAATCACTATTCACCTTTCTTGTTTCACTGAATCTGGAAACCTGCGAGACACTGCAGACTTTGTTTGAATGTTAGACAATCGGTTGTTGATGAGACTAACTTCAACTTGTTCTGGTGAAGGTGTTGGATCACCTTGCTTGCCACATTCATGCTCGTCACAGGAGATCTCCTCGTTTCCTATGCCTGGTACTACATTTTTGTTTGGTACTGGAGATACATTGAATCCTTCTGTAGTGACTTCTTTTCTTGAATCGATTAGGTTGCACGGATCATCTTGCTTGGCACATTTTTCCTCTTCACATGAGATTTCCTCGTTTTCTAAGCCAGGTACTACATTTTTGTTTGGTACAGGAGACTTATTGCATCCTTCTGCAGTGACTTCTTTTCTTGAATCGATTAGGTTGAACAGATCATCTTGCTTGGCACATTTTTGCTCGTCACAGAAGATTTCTCCGTTTCCTAAGCCAGGTACTACATTTTTGTTTGGTACAGGAGACTCATTACATCCTTCTGCGGTTACTTCTCTTCTAGACTCGCCAAGTTCGCAAAGATCATCATCGACATTCGTCTGAAAATTTGGGTAGGCATAAGATAGTGAAAGTATCTAGAAGAGAAACAAAATCGTGTCCAAACTTACATATGCAATAGCCAAACTTGTGTCAACCTCGAGCTGTTCTTTTGCATGGACAAGTGCTTCTACCTCAGGTAGACATGGTTCTGCCAGGTTTGACTTGGAAAATAGGCAAGAAGACTTGAGACTGATCAACTCTGTCTCTAATCCCTGTGATTTAAGTTGTTCGTTTTTAAGGCTTTCCTTCAGACTGCAAATGTCACCTTCTGCAACCTACGGTAATAAAATACATGCATAGACATTAAACATAATTCAACTGTGATATTGTCACAATATTAAGGAAAGAAGCAATGTCAGGAAATTACTTTTAACTTCTCGTTGTACTGCTTCAGGACGTTCCAAACGACTTTAGCAAAATTCCGCATGATGATGTGCTCTCTCTCGTTGTTATCCTCCAGCTTTGGAGATGGCTTCTCAGTTTGATCAGCTTTCTTTCCCTCCAAATTCACTGATGAACAATCGTAAAAGGAAATAAGCAAAAAACTGAATACGTGCAGTCAATATCTGGAAGAGTTCTCAAAATCCTACCTTCCTGAGTAACTTGGTTTCTTTCTCCAACAACAATCTCTGCAACCTTCAATGGCAAATGCAACATTTTCAGTAAAATGATTTATGTACAATAAATTTTTAGTTCCGCAGAAGACAACAAAAATGGGTAGAGGAAGCCAAATTTACTTGGGAAGTCTTGGGAGCACTGAGTTTCATTTTCTTGTTTTTCTCTACTCTTGGAACTGTCTTGAGCTGCCTCTTGTTGCACACTTCCTCAATATTATCAAATCTGAATAAAACACCCAACGGAAAAACATAAGCACCTGCGAGAGATGTGGACTTCATCTTTTAGTTCATGATAACGAAAGAACATTACTTGATTTTCATGTAAGGTGAAGCTTGTTTTAGAAGATAGGAGGTGTCAAGATAATCTTCTTCTCCTGCTTTAACTGTTATAATCTGTAAATTTAGATAAAAGAGGAGACGAATTATTACAATATATCAGGGTCGAAAAGTAGGTCTTGTACAAGAACTCAAGTAAATTCCCACAAATAGACTTACCAAAGCCATCCTCTTTTTTCCTTCTAGATAGTCCCGCAAGTACCTTGTTAACTACATAAAAGCAAAATCGCATTAGAGTACAGAATGTACGAAGACTAAATAACTTATAGATCATACAAATTTTCATCAGATAGTATGAGTCAAGGGGGGATTAAGGTATATGCTACCAGTGAATTTTGATGATGTTTCTGCAATCCCTTCTTTCGGTTCTTCTGATACTCCAGCAGCGACTGCCAACACATACAGCGTGGTCATGGTTACTTGAATTGTTGGCGTAAAATAGGAAAATAAACTAAGGCCAACTTAAGGGAGTCCCAAAATCAACGCCCTTACCCGCAAACATTGACCGAAAACCATGGATGTATTGTTGATGAAATTGCTCTCAACCAGCCTCTCTCCCTACAAAACAAATTAAACCAACAAGCATACAAGGAACACGTTAGTTTAATCCTACAGATGAAGACAGTTCAATGTTAACCAGTTCCAACTGTGATGCTAAGAACAAGTACAGGTCAACAACTTACAGTCAAGCTATGAATCTATGCTTTTCAGACAAGTACTTTCAGGTATGACATATACTTGTGGCTTTGCATATTAAACTAATAAGAAAGTCGATACTCCATATATAAAGTCTATAATGAAAACAGTATAACCTGATTGCCAGTTCTTTTCTCCCTTTCTGCTCCCGCCAAGTCCACTATAGTCAGCATAGCATCACTAGACTGCATTTTTGTTTCGTTAGAAACGCCATCGGATGCTGCTCTTATGTTGATAATGCATTGTGACCGACTGAAAACATTCCCAAAGTTAGTTCACAACATGAAGACATTTAGTTAAAACATTGTCCAGAAATGGTCCAAAAAGAACAAAACTTTTGCTGCCAAGTACCTTGATTGACTATTTGAATTTGTTGTGGCTGTAGCACGTTTCAGCATCGCCTGACCAATTAAGGACTCTGCTTCCCCCAAATTCCGGATCGGCACCTACTCACCACACATGATTTGTCAATAGACTGAGAATTTACAACACTCATCTATCCATTATGAAACCTAAAAACCAAGCACAAACCTCTTTCAAACCCCTGATGGTAGATTGCTGCACAGACAACTCAGAGCTCCCATCTCCAAGTAAATCATAAGCTTTCTCCCCTTTCCCTCGCTCAGAACATATCTCAAATATAGACAAGTAAAACAACCTGAAGATAAAAGCAATGTAATGTTAACCTAAACTGTTGTCTAAACTCATTATTCCACAAACTTTTGATCTTTTAGTACCTCAAAGACACAGAATAAGAAGAAGCTTCATCACCCTTCTTAAAAATCCGACGGAGCGTAATCGGAACAACACCAGGATCCTTAACAGTTCCAAAAACAGTATGAGTCTTCCCAGAGCCGCTAGGTCCCAACGCAGCCAACATCCCACTCTTCCCTCTCAAAAAATCCTCCAACAAAGGCTCAACCATCTTATCATACACATCATTCTACAAACACACACAAAAAAAACTCATCAACAAAAAATCCAACTTAACAAAAAAGGAAGTAACTTTAGGTCAAACCTGCGAACAGTTAGCAGGAAAAACATGAGAAAACCCTTCAAAAACCTCAGTCTTACTCCGTTTAAGCTCTTGCAACGCTTGAGGAGGAGTAAGCGTAACCGAGTAAGCGTCATTGAGTGTAATACAAGCTTCCTCACTCTTCTTAGGCCTACTCTCTTTAGCCTTCTTCGAAGGGTTTTGCGGCCATACGTTTCTAGGTCTACTCTTCGCTGTAACGGTTGTTGCCTTGTTGGTGAAGATTCTCAATGGTTTGATTCTGAGGAAGATCTTTAAGCTCTCTGGAACGGAGGGTTTGGGTTGAGGGATTTGGATGGAGAGGATCTCGTCGATTGGGAAGGAAGGGACTTCGTGAGAGTTGTTAGAGGAAGGAAGTGGTTTAGCTGCTGCTGCGGTGGTTGTGTATGGAGTGGCTCTGGCCTTTCGAGGAGGGTTACGGCGGACTGTTACGGTGGAGGGACACGGCTTTGGACTGAACTCTTCCTCCATCGTTTCGTTCTCTCACTGTGGCGGAAAAAAATGGAGCGTTTTTTAATTTCAATTTTCTAATTTTGATCCTCCTCCCACTTCCTCACTTTTTTTTTTCCTTTTTCAAAATGAGATTTCTATTGGGCTTTTGTATTCAAAGCCCATAAGTTTTTAATATTGGGCTTTTTTAGTAAAGGCCCATTATAATTGTCCAACTAATACTTTACTTACATGAAGTTTCTTTCTGCGACTTCTTTTATACCCGCCTCGCCGCCGCCGTGAACCGTGAGCACATCTTTTCACTCATCACCGTTCGAAAACCCTAACCTCCTTCATCTCTCTGCTCATAAAACTTGTTTTTTTTTCGGTAAGGTTTCGTTTACATATAGTATGATACTTGTTTGGTTTTATGTTTTGTGGGTAGTTCTTAACTTTATATTAACTTGTTTATACTCAGTTTTACTCTATACAGGGTTTTTATTTTAGTGTTTGATTATGTTTCTGTAAGAAAATTGAAATGGATTTGTATAGATGAGTTATGTAATTTGTTTTGTGTGTGTTTTTTTTTTGCTGTGAAAAGGTTATTTGTAATGGAGAAGTCAAAGGAAAGCGGGTTCTTGTTCTGTAATTTGTGTGGAACGATGCTGATCTTGAAGTCAATCAAGTATGCTGAATGTCCACTTTGCAAAACAACCCGAAACGCCAAAGGTATAACAAGTATTCCCTTTTTGGCTTCTTTTTGTTTTTGGTTAATTTGATTGTGATTTAAAACTTCATTGTTTTCAGATATCATTGACAAGCAAATAGCTTACACAGTTTCTGATGAGGTATGTTTCTTTGTTTTGATTCAGCAATGTTAATTCTTGTCTGGCTAGTTTTTCTTCGTCATACTTGTTTTCTTATGTGTGTTGTAAATCAATCCAAATTGGTTTTGTTCGACGGAGTAGTAAAGATATTAAGGTTTAACTTACTAGACGGTGAACACAGACAACCCTGTCTTGTCTATGTAATTAATTTCAAACCTGAAAAAGGGACACTGCTTATTCTTGTAAGAACAATGTATCATGTGGTGTTTAACGTTTAATTTCGTTTCTTGGGTGTTTTTCATTGTCATTGAGGGTGATACAGAGACTATTCTAATGCTAAGTGAGTATACAGCTCATGATGATCTTTGGCTTTTTTTTTGTAGGATATCAGAAGAGAACTAGGAATCTCTCTGTTTGGTGAAAAAACACAGGAAGACACTGAGCTACCAAAGGTTTTATTATATGACAAAACACACAATCACTAACATATTACGTTTTCTTTTCCTCAGTCTCTGACTTTTGATTTTTGATGTATTCGCTTTGCAGATCAAAAAGGCGTGCGAGAAATGTCAGCACCCAGAGCTTGTATACACAACCAGACAGGTAAAGCCAAGCTTTTCAAGTTCTTGTTTTCTCTTTCATGTCAAAGAATGTATTCATCTTTGAGTTTTCTTATTTTGCAGACAAGATCAGCAGACGAAGGGCAAACAACATATTACACTTGCCCCAATTGTGGACATAGATTCACAGAAGGTTGAGATTGTTACATTCTCCTGTATGAGATTTCGATTCACTGAGAATACCAGTTTTGTTTCTTGCATTTATGCTACGAACTAGATGTTTTATCTTCGTCGAAACCTTATGTATTGATTCTTACACTAATGTTATGGCCTCAATAGTCAATGTCACTAGTTTTTGTCATCATCTCAAACTTTTTCTTATTAGACTAATGTTCCGTTGCATGTCGATGAGAACAAGCTAATTTTTAATCGATAAAATTTCCAGCGATATAAGTAAGGATGCCAAATAAGTTGCGATCAGTCGACTGACAAACAAATAAACTGTGACTTGTAACAGTGGTTGTAGTGGTAAATTGCAACAACTTGTAAGTTGTAACACTGTACAATGATTTCAAGATTCAATATTGTCAAATTTATTTTTAATGCTTCTTTTTTTTTCCACCTTATCATTCAACTTTCAATAATTTTGTTTAATAAAATTATATATTTTATTTTACTAATGAATAATTATTTTTTCATGTTCAAATTAATCTCTATTTATAGAAAGTTAGAATGATATATTTTCGTACAAAAAAACTATTCTGTTTATGATAAGATTATTGATTTTAAATAACTAACATGATATGAAAAATGTTAAAAAAAAAATTAAAATTAACATTTGTTCTAGGTGGTCTCCACTTTCTTTTTTATTCAACATCTAATAATACATATCATCAAGTTTTATTCTTCAACATTCTAATTATAGTGATTCAACTGTTAACTCTTTTATTCAATACCTTTATTGTAAATAGTCTAACCAGTAATTTGCCATAACTTGTAACCAAGTGGTACTAGGTCGTAATGGCAAGTTGCATCAACATGTAAAAGAACAAGGTCATAGTATTGGTGATAATCTTATAGAAGGAAACAAACATAAAAGAAAATTATTCCAACAAGGCTTAATACTTTGTGCCAACAGAGCCTATTAAAAAAGTTATGGCTTAGCAAATCACACAAAAGGAGAGAGTTCTATCACATTAAAAACCAAGACAGACCCAACACGCCCATGGGCATTTATTTGTAGTATCGTCGACCTTAACGTAGCTGTAAAACACGACGGATGTTATCGGTGGCTACGTCAGTTTTGCCGGCAGCTTCTGCGTTGCAACTAAGCTTCGGTTTGATCGAAAACCTAGGCATCGGCAAACTACAAGGCGGAGGAGATAATAACATGATCGCTGGACCAGGATAACCATCAAACCCTTCCGGGAAATCACGCTTGTTGTTAGACCGGACCGGAACCGAACCGGTTCGAGTCAGTCTCGGTTCAGTTTCAACGTTCCCTACTTTCTTGTGTTGCGTTGGTCTTGCCTGAGCGTAAGGGAGAGCATAGCTGTTGGCACGTGGTCGAGAGCTGTTGACGCGTGGAAGAGGGAGAAGAGGAGGCTGGGAGTAGCTAGGCGGCGGTGGAAGATATCCCCAAGAAGACGTTGGAGTCATAGGAAGAGCCAAGCTTCCTCCAGATCTTGAAAGTGAACCACGAGAACTCCTTCTTTTAGGGTTCTTGAATGGTCTCAAACCCGAAACTTGTTTGCCTGATGACGAACGTTGAATAGATATTGTTTCCATCGTTAAAATATGAAAACTATTTTAATATAATTTCGAGATCGGTAGTATTTTTATTTTTTGTTAAAAAGAAGAGGGTGTTTAAAGAAAATATTGAACAATTAAAACAAGGGAAAGCAGAGAAATATAATTCTGTATATGCGTTTTAGTGGCGACGATCTACCAAATATTACGATCGGAAAGCCCTATAAGTTGAAAAAATATTCAGTGTTTATAATAACAAGAAAGAAAACGAAAAGTTTGTACTCAAAACATGTTAATGTTTAAACTTCCATTACAAGATCCGAAGGATCGTTTGATAAAAGATGAACTCTCTCTAAAGAACCCTAACCTCAAGAGGACAGATGTTGCTAAGCACTGGAACGGCTGTTTCCTTTTATAAACGAATAATAATAAAAGTCTATTTTTCTTATGGAATTTAATTTTTCCAAGTATTTTTTTTATCATATATTATTATAGCTTCAAAGTTTAGAAATGCACTTGCGCAACACAAGTCCCGGGAAACACTGTGGGGCGGTCACCGCCTTTTCAATATCAACCGTCGGATCATGAAATAAGTATTACAATAGCCGTTGAGAGAATCTGACGCGTCTAACACGGGGATCTACCTTAGGCAGATCTTGACCATACACGTCGGTATCATCAGTGGCTTTCTTCGTTGATGACCTCACGTGGAGGGAAAGTTTGAGACCCCAACCAATTCTGTCACGTAGATCTTGATGACGTGGCATCACACCAGCCAATCATCCATGCCTTGAGGTTTTTCCATAATAGGATTGGTCGGTCTTCATGCATTGTTTGCATGTGCCTGCCATCAAAATACTACCAATGAAGGAGATATCGAATAGTTATTTATATGGTGGACATTATTATATAGAAATCATCGAGGGTATCACACTACAATATTGTCTATTGCGTAAAGATCAAATTTTAAAAAATGATCAACTATGATAATTTTTTTTTGAACAACTATGATATTTTTTAATTGAAAGGAAAATGATAGGGTATAATGTTACCACTTGAACGATTAAGAAGTAGCTAGAAATCTAATAAACTATTTAATAAAACTACGTACTACAAATCAAAATCTTGTCATTTTCTTAATGATACCTTCCTAGCGATTGAGCCAATCGGCACTGCCAAATCTTTAATGGGTGGGGCTGTTTTTTTATATAAATAGACAATGCAGCTGACGGCTAAACACTACAAATTAACTAAACAGTAAAAAAAAAAATTAGCATACGTCAAGAGTAACCCGCTGATATTCTGGTTATGATTTGTCAAAGTCCTTTGATAAAAAACAAAACAAGAAAATGATATTTCACAAACTTACAAGATTGATATGCATTAAGTTTTGTACATATTCTTATGGCTGTCAAGAAGAATCAATATGCTTTTGACAATTCAAAAAACTTAATGCTTTAACTCAACCTCAGAACCTCTCGAAACTAGAAATACCAAAACAACATGTTTTTATCTAACTGATTGAATTAACCGCAAGTGGAAATGGAACCGTGGATATAAAAATACGTATATTACATTTGTCGAGAATACGTAGATTAGTTTAGTAAAAAAAAGCATACGTAGGATATACGGAGGGTAGTTGCTCGATTGTCTATAGGATTATTAAATAGATATACTTTGGGTGATGACAGCTTTTTCTTTTTTTTTTTACTTGTTTTGGGATGATGATCATGGTTAGGTGTGGTTATTCTTTTCATCATTTCATCTCTTATAATATACCTTGCAGCGTGTTTGGTAGAACTTTGGTTCTGTTTGTTGACTTCCAGTTTTTCAACCAAAGAAATCAAAATTTAATACAAATTGCATGCACTTAAGTCCAGACATAAGCCGTTTTCACATATATTATAATGTATAAAACAAGATGCATATCACATATCATATATAATATTTATAATCTTTTTGGCAAAAAAACAATATTTATAATCTATCAAGACCACGCCGTAGCGTAATTAGTAGCTCTCATGTTAATTATCAAAGAGTCTTTCGGAAAGAGGTATGAACAAAAAAATAAAGAAACCAGGAGAGGCTGCAGAACCATAGATCCCAAGTTCGAATTTTCTACAAAAAGATATTTTTACCTTGCAATGGTTGGATCCCATTATAAGAAGATGTTACGTTTAAACCTCAGAATTCCATGTTAAATAAAAAATATAAATTCATAGCTCTGACTTCATAGTACCTTTAAACTTTTATACACTGTGACATAATATATGTGGTATATATACTGATTATTAATTCTTATAATTATAAATTAAAATGTATCGATTTTTCATTTTTCGTCATTTACCAAAAATAATTATACGTAATGGTCGACACACCCTTTGGAATAATCAGACAAACTTTTCGACTCAAAGAAAAGTCTCGTAAGTCCAACCGCTAATATATACTGTATAAATCTTATTAGCAAAGTAAATTTATACACATTCACACACAATGAAAAAAGTTGCTAGCTAGGGTTTACTTATGTGGAGTTGCCACGAGAGTGCATTGCTACTTTTGGAGTCGCTTTAGCGGATGATGTGTTCCACTATGATTATTATTACTTTCTGCACCGACCATATCTAAGGCCACGTACTTACTTCACTTTTGTATATTCCAATACCCTAGTTTTTAGATCTGCTTTCCTTTATGATCGACCATTCGCATTAACAAACATTTTAAATAGCATATTCTTTTTATTGGATGTTCCCGAAGGAACTCGAATATCAGTATACTGTAATAATACTATTATGTTTCTATATATGAATATTTTTCTTTTGTGTATATTGACTGTAATATATGATGTATCGATGTGAGACATTTGATCAATAGCGAGGCAAGTAACATTTTCCCTTAATTTCGGATATTTGGATAAGATTTATATAGACATATATCAACATTAGTCTTAGACTTTCAGTTGCTGATTTTTATTTTTCTTCATCGGTTGGATCGATACGACCAATTCATAACTAACTCTATAACGTGGATCGAAATTAACAACACCATATAATAGAGTCAAACTCCAATAGAAAATAATGCAAAGGTAGTCATTTAACTACTTGATTGTAGTCACTTCCCTAGTTTCAATTGGAGATTTATAAGTTATATAAAAGATAAACAAGTTGGCTGTATTTATACTTATAAGTTCTAGACTTCTAGATATAACACACACAGAATATCAAACTGCAAATACTTCATAGTAAGTAAACATAACAAAAGTAGCTATGTTTATGTTACATAATGTTTTTCATTTACAAATAAAAGAGAGATTTAAACAAAAAAAAATAAATTCTGGATTAATTATCATATGATACTTCTTGGTCGTTACATCAAATACCAATATATAAGAGCATCTGCAATTGCGGATCCTTGGAGGAATCCTTAGGAAAAAAGAAAAAGAAATATTTTGGATTATATAAGGATATTTCAGATTTTTTCTTTAAAAAAGAAAACCTGACCACTCACGGACCGCCACGTGGGCAGTGGAGCCCGCGAATAGTGTAAGGATCAATCCTTATATAAGAATTTTTTCTTTAAAATCCTTAACTGTTCACTGGACCCATTAAATATAAAATTAATATTTTCCTAAGGATTCTCCCTAAGGATTCGTCATTGCGGATGGTCTAACATTTTAGGTCCTTTTAAGTTAAGATGATTTAACGGGAAGGTTTTTCCATCAATGGGCTTGTGCAATTCGGCCTTGAAGGCATACATATGTTAAGGGCCTTAATATAAGGCCTACACATTTCATCCAAGCACATATTTTGGTCTCAAACCGGCCACACATCGTGTGAAAATAATTCCGTATAGTGGTTGGGAAGAAAATGACAAATACTTTTGCTAAAAAAAAAAAAATGACAAATACTTGTTGGATTGCGGACCAAAAAAATTACTGGATCTCTCAATAGTTTAGATTTGTATGCACCAGATTCATTAGAGCATGATTAACCCTAGGTTCTTAAGGCGAGGTTCTTAGCAAAAACTAAGAAATTGTTTCTTAACTTTTAACTAAAAACGCTAAGAACTGGTTCTTAAATAAGGACTTTAAGAACCGGTTCTTAGCGTTTTTAGTTAAAAATTAAGAAACAGTTTCTTAGTTTCCGCTAAGAACTCCGACTTAAGAACTTTGGGTTAATCATGGTCTTAGTAGACAGTGTTGATAACCTTTTCTTTTACGTTCGCTAAAAGAAATATCGTGTACTAAGAACTTTTTTTTTATTAAGAGCATGCTATTAGTGATTAATAATACAAGAATGTATCTTAACGCTACTAAGAAAACAAGATGGTGGGAAAGAAGACAAGAAAATGTTAAACACATCAAAAATAGAAGATTAACGACTACGCAAAAAATGTGGGAAACGAAAAGTCTAAGCAACGGTTCGATTGAAACTATAAAATCAAGCTAAACAAATGGACATTATAGAGAGATTCCGTACATAACGCTCTTGAAAGTTTCTTATTCCACACCATTTTATTTTGAAGTCTCAAAATAAATTTTCCTCAAGTGAATGAAAATAGTAATATGTTTTTGGGGACTTCACTTTCTCTAACGTAAATCGATAGTATTAATTTTTATTTAGTGTCCCCTTCATCAATGTGATTTCCTCTTTGTAGATTTAATTTCATCGTGGTTCTAAGTAAGAAGAATAGGAAGAGTTTTTTATTCCCTCTGTTTGATGAGAAATGGGAATATTCAGCACAATATTGGGTGCGTTTGGTTTTGGATTCGGAACAACGGTCGGGATCGTAATCGGTTACTACTTGTTCATCTATCACCAGTCTACTGATGTTCAGGCATCTTCAAATCTTCTTCTCAAATAATTTGATAACTTTTGCATGCATGAAACTGAAATTTTACGTTCACTTTTGATTTTGTTTTAAATAGTTTGCGGGTGTGTGATTTGATAGATTCCAGAGTGATAAATTCCATCCTTGAATTGAAGATTACATTTAAAAATTGTTACAAATTTTGAAACTTCGCTCTCTTAATTCTTTTAGTGTTCTTATTTTTTATAATATTTTTATTTTTCAATCAATGATCAGGATCCTGAGATAAAGCCATTGGTGGAGTTAGATTCAGAGAGTATAGCTAAAATGTTCCCTGAAATACCTTTGTGGGTGAAAAATCCAGATTTTGATCGTGTATGTTTTCTCTACTTCCTTCTTAGATACTCTTAATTAAATGATAACATGTCTGAAAAACTGAAACAAAGTTTCTCCGTTCTCTCTGAAGATTGATTGGCTTAACAAGCTCATTGGCCATATGTGGCCTTATATGAACACGGTAATGTCTTCTTCTTCTTCTTCATAGCTTCATGTTTCTTTTCCCTTAGTTCTCAGTTACTATAAACATTGTTTCCTATAACGTTTTTTCAGGCCATTTGCAACATGGCCAAGTCTATTGCAAAACCAATTATTGCTGAACAAATACCAAACTACAAAATAGATTCAGTTGAATTTGAAATGCTCACTTTGGGTTCATTACCACCAACGTTCCAAGGTTTCTCCTCGTTTTATATAACACTCATTAATACACAATCTTGTTCTTTAGATTTCTCTTCATTTTTGATTGTTCTGATTCCCACCCTTATTTGCAGGAATGAAAGTTTATGCAACTGATGACAAAGAAATTATCATGGAGTTGTCAATTAAATGGGCAGGGAACCCTAATATCCTTGTTGCAGCCACAGCATTTGGGTTCAAAGCCACTGTTCAGGTAAGTTTTTGATCGCTGCATCAACAAGAAAAGTCTCTTCATCTTTCTGACTACTTGTAAGTTTGTATCATTATCAGGTGGTTGATTTGCAAGTGTTTGCTACTCCAAGGATTACTCTGAAGCCATTAGTCCCATCTTTCCCCTGTTTTGCCAACATATTTGTCTCCCTTATGGACAAGGTATAATCCACAAATGAAGTAAAATTTATTTGAATAACACCTTAGACACACAAATCTAAAATGTGATTTCTCCTGCAGCCACAAGTAGATTTTGGATTGAAGTTGCTTGGTGCAGACGTTATGTCTATTCCTGGCTTATACGGATTTGTCCAGGTACGATGGTTTGGAGGGTGTTTCTTCTCCTTCACGTCCAAGCAACCATTCATTTTCAGATCTGAAACTCTAGAAGAACCGTTTCTGCCTTATTTTATTATTGTAGGAACTCATTAAAGATCAGGTTGCAAACATGTACCTATGGCCAAAGACTTTAAATGTTCAGATAATGGATCCTTCTAAGTAAGTCTTGTTTCTTCTACTTAAAGTCTCACGTCTACAACTATTAAGTATTTGCTAAATATAGGTTTTTCATTACATGCAGAGCAATGAAGAAACCTGTTGGATTGCTTAATGTGAAAGTCATTAAGGCAATAAAGCTTAAGAAGAAAGATCTTCTTGGTGGATCAGATCCTTATGTGAAACTAACACTCTCTGGTGACAAAGTTCCTGGTAAGAAGACAGTTGTTAAACACAGCAATCTAAACCCTGAGTGGAACGAAGAATTCGATTTAGTTGTCAAAGAACCAGAGAGCCAAGAATTGCAGCTCATTGTTTATGACTGGGAACAGGTAATAACAACAACAACAACAACTCTTTTTTTTTGCTAACTGATATTCACATTTTTGGTAATCTCTCATTCGCTATTTTTCTATCTTCTTAACCAAACTCAGGTTGGTAAACATGATAAGATAGGAATGAATGTGATTCAACTCAAAGACCTTACTCCAGAGGAGCCAAAGCTCATGACACTGGAGCTTTTAAAATCCATGGAACCAAATGAGCCAGTTAGTGAGAAATCTCGTGGACAGCTTGTTGTTGAATTGGAATATAAACCCTTTAAAGAAGATGAGATTCCAGACAACTTAGATGATCCAAATGGAGTAGAGAAAGCACCAGAAGGCACACCTTCTGGTGGTGGTTTGCTTGTGGTTATTGTTCATGAAGCTGAAGATTTAGAAGGCAAATATCACACAAACCCTTCTGTTCGTTTGATGTTCAAAGGAGAAGAACGTAAAACAAAGGTACCCAAAAAATCTCTCTTAGACTCAAAATCAAAAACTGCAAAGAACATTAGCTTTAGGGTTTTTTGAAAAACATTTTGGTTTGATTTGACAGCGTGTGAAGAAAAACAGAGAGCCAAGATGGGATGAAGATTTTCAGTTTCCATTAGATGAGCCTCCAATAAACGAGAAGCTTCACGTTGAAGTCATAAGTACTACTTCACGAATAGGTTTAAATATGCATCCTAAGGTATAATACAAAAAAAAGGTCTCTATAATTCATCTGAAGATCTTTGAGCAAGAACAAGAACTTGACTGAGTGTTTTTGTTTTTCTCTATATCAGGAAACTCTTGGATATGTGGTGATAAATCTTGGTGATGTTGTGAGTAACAGGAGAATCAATGATAAGTATCATCTGATTGACTCAAAGAATGGTCGGATTCAGATTGAGCTGCAGTGGAGAACTTCTTCTTGAGACCAAAGGTTTGTGTGATTCTTCTTCACGAGTGAGCACTTTTTTTTCTGTTTCCAGTTCCTTGGCATCCTTGCGCTGTACTTAACATCCCTATATTCGTTCACCTTATGACTTGATTTTTAAGCGTGATGAGCCTCATGTGAACCTTAATTCACATAGGTTTCATGGAGATTACTGTGGGACAACTGTTTATTTTTGGGATTTAATTAACAGACCCAATAAACATTCTGATTTAGCTTGCAGATTATTGGAAAATGCAGATACTAATCACGTTAGGTTTTTGCAGATTCTATATCGTTAAGGTTACATAATTATATGATTCTTAGTTCAATGATTATAATCTCAGTATAATTGAGTTGGAGTTAGTTAAATAATGGTTGGTGAATAGTTGGTAGGAATGGTAGCCATGTGTAGTAAGCTTAACTTCTCTGATGTAATGATTTGGTTCACTCGTACTATCTTCCCCACCTTCTCTTTTGTTTTCATTGTTTAATTCCGCAATCAATTCCTCTAATCTCTCTGAGTTGTACATTCATCCGATCTCCCCACATGCTTACAATCAGTTTAAAATATTTGTAGTTTAAAGAATAAGAGTGGTTGAACAAAGAAATATTATTCTATATTGTCACTTTTGTACAAATGAACTACCCTTTTTCATTGGATGAACGTTGATAGTTAAAACTTAAATGTCAATACGCATAACAATCATACAAATGTTTCAAAAACCAAATGACACTTGCCACTGTTAGCAAATAAATACTTTTGTAAAAAAGGAATATAAAAATATAGTACTCCCTCTGTTTTATTATAAGTGTCACTCTACAGCTATGCACACGGATTAAGGAAATAATTAATTTTACATATTTCCTATATAAAAACACAGTTACCCATACACCTAACCATATTTTAACCAATAGAAAAACAAATTACATAATAAAATTAATAAATTTTGCATTGAAAATCGAAAACGACACTTATTTTGTAACGTAAAAAATTCTCTACAACGACACTTAATATAAAACGGAGGGAGTATACTTTTTGTCAACACATGCTATTACTGTATCTTTATTATAAAATATAATATGGATTGAAAAGGTTATAAACTAACTCATGATGCCAGTTAGATACTACTAGGGATGGAGGATTCATCAAATTTAAACAACGAAGCTACCAACTGGTGTGATTATGATTATGTGATGGGACATTCTGGGACGTGGTGGATGGTTATTGATTGGTTTACTTAGAGTTAGGCACGTCCCTATGGTTCTCTCGTCGCCTATGTTTCGTACGTAATCCGAAGGGAATTGAGTAATTTGCTAATTAGGAGTCGTGCCGTAACACTACGTAGCACGTTCTTGATGATGCCAAATCAAATCAAGTGATTATGGATTTCATACCTTGTTTTTACTATACTATAAAAGTCTAGTGCAGATATAATTTATTCAGCAACATTAATGACATTTGCATTTTCCTTGTTTTCACAAAGCTGGTAGATCCTTCTTATTCAAAATTCAAATCCACGACAAGAAAGAGAGAAAAGGAGATTTTCAAATTTTGATAATAAATAAAATAAAATTTGAATAAATCAATAAAAAAGTAAGAACTATTATAGGGGGGAGGTGGGAGCTGTAACATAGTTGTATAGTCTTTTATCATCTCAAAAGTCATCATTAAACCGCCAAATTAAGCATATCTTCTTTCTTATTCTCTGCAACTTATTTTGGGGCTTCTCAGATTCAAAAGGAAAGTGAGCAAATACATAGGCTTTCGCCTAGTAGAAATGTCGAGGTATTGAGGAAGAAACTCGAAAAAGGAAAATTTCAAAGATCCGTGCGGCGGAGATGAGCGCGTCAAGGTTCATAAAGTGTGTTACGGTCGGAGATGGTGCTGTCGGAAAAACCTGCATGCTCATTTCTTACACTAGCAACACTTTCCCTACTGTAATTTCAAACTTCTGTTTCTTTTTCTAATTTTGAAAATCTTTATGTCCAAAGCATTGATGATGAAGCTCGTGTTGACGATCTAACACAAAATCTGTGAACTTGTGAATCTTATTAGGACTATGTTCCAACTGTTTTCGATAACTTCAGTGCTAATGTGGTTGTTGATGGCAACACTGTCAATCTTGGATTATGGGACACAGCCGGTAATAATCTCTCTCTCTCTTCTTAAAAACCGGTTTCACCGTTTGGAACATTCGGTCTTGACTTGGTTTTTGGAAAAACAGGTCAAGAAGACTACAACAGGTTACGACCTTTGAGTTACCGTGGCGCTGATGTTTTCCTTCTTGCTTTCTCCCTTATCAGCAAGGCTAGCTATGAGAACATCGCCAAGAAGGTTTTTTTTAGCTCTTTTCTCTTATATATTATTCAAAAACATAGCTTGTGATGAGTGAAACAACATTAGTCTCTAATTTGATTTAGTTACATCTCTCAGTGGATTCCTGAGCTCAGGCATTATGCTCCTGGTGTTCCCATCATCCTCGTTGGAACTAAACTTGGTATCCAAACTCTTTTCTTGCTTGAACTCATCATGTTATTGGTTTTGCTTACAAAGTTGTGTATGTCATGTGAGATTGTGAATGTTTTTGGGATTTGCAGATCTTCGAGATGACAAGCAATTCTTCATAGATCATCCCGGTGCAGTACCGATTACTACAAACCAGGTACCTGATTCTTGTAATATGGTGTATGGTTGTTATTAGTCTCCGCCATGATGGCCACATTGTGATAAAACATGGTTCTGTTGTTGTACTTGTTATGAATGATACAGGGAGAGGAACTGAAGAAACTGATTGGGTCTGCGGTCTACATTGAATGTAGTTCAAAGACACAACAGGTAAGACATACTAAATATTGCTTCTCCTGGTTCTTGTTGTTTTGCATTAGACTCTTGTGATGAGGCTATAAGTCTGTTGGGATTCTGCAGAATGTGAAGGCAGTGTTTGATGCAGCCATAAAAGTGGTTCTTCAGCCACGAAAGCAGAAGAAGACTAAGAAAAAGAACCGCTGCGCCTTCTTGTGATTGTAAAAAGAAAAAAAGAATCTGTAAGAAGAAGACTTGATGATTTTTACTATTTGATTCGTCCCAGTTTTAATATGACAATTCCGACAGTTATGGGAGAACATTTTCGAGTAGCTTTTTGTATAGTTGCTTAAATCAAAGCTGTGTTGTTGTGTCTTTTTAGTTCACAGTGTGTACTACTATTGCTATGTAGGCTAATCACTCTTCCCTTTTGTTGCTGATGGGATCACATTATGTAGGCCAATGTTTTTATTCTTGCTTTCAAGCTGTTTTCTTACTGCGTCTGCAAACAGTTATATATGCAAATGATTTGGTTGAAAATCATGTTATGAGCAATCTCGTTGCTGCCTGATCAAAACTATAACTAGAGTCTAACTCATGAACATGAACTCATTGTTGTCAAGGAAAAACCAATTGATGTCAAAAGAATACAGAGATCATTCTTTCAAGTATTATTGATCTGTGTGTTTGTTACAATCAGTGGAACTGTACAAGCTAAAGGCCTAAGGCTAAGCTGATAAAGAACAAAACAATTATACGAGCCTCTTCTAAAACAGGACTGTGTATGGCAATGAAAAAATCTCTACTTCAGGCAAAAACTGGGGTCTAGGGAAACATGAATCTTCTGACTTCTGCATGTCTTCATTCATACAAGACTTGACAGGAGTAGCCTTCTTTTGCCGCCTTGCACCTAGAAGCCAGTCATCATCACTGTTGTTATCATCTTCCTCCATCAAAATGGAGGGAAGAACCGGTTCATCAAACAATGAACTGTACCGAGATTCTTTGCTAATCCTATGTTTCTTTTTCTTCTTTGATTCAGAAGAAACTGCAGTTTTGTCACTCTCCAAAGAAGTTGAGGGCAGATTCTCCTCCTGCCCTGAGACAGAGATTGAAGTTTCAAGGGGTCTATCAACCCCTGAGGTGGAGCAAACAGGGTCCTCTTGAGGAACAATCTCAAGAGTTTCTTTAGGTTTCTTGAAGACAAAGCGTATCCGTAGAGGCTTACCAACTACAGGCGTAGCTGCACATGATCAAACCACACGAGGCTTCAGTATATATTACACAAAGGTAACAAAATGAAATCATTCTAGTACAACGACGAAAAACACAAACCTTGGTTGTTACTCTCAACAGCAGTAGAAGCTTCTTCCCTTCTTCTCTTCCTACTGTTTTGACTACCATCAGACAAATAACCCACATGGTGATGTTCTTCCGTCAAACAACTCTTCTCAAGCTGTTCAGACTCATCACACACTTTCTTGATCGGTAAATAAAGCTGTTCAATGGACTTGACATTCTTATGTTTCTTTTCCTTCTTCCTCTCCTTCTTCTCTTTCCGGTGAACCTTGTTAGTAGGTGCTACTTGTCTTTCGATGATCTTTATAATCGATCAGAATAAAGGATTTAGACTAATTGTGGGGGAAATTATCGGCAAACAACCAGAACCCATATACGTGGGTACATCACTCATTCAAAACAACACATATAATATTCAAATCATACATCTTTAACACGTCTCTAGGGTGACTATGACTTGGTGACCAAATCAAACAACATACATGTTCACACGATATTGTCTGAAAGAGACATGATATATAATATTAATAAAATCAGTATGCAACTCATGAATAAATAAGTTTAATTTCACAGATCTATAGGCAGATAGATCTAACAAATACAACAATAAGGGCATTCATATTAATCAATCATAAAATATATGCAAACCTATACACAATCATTAGGATATTTAATGTTCAGACCAAGGAACGGAACACGGTTTGCGAATCAATGACAAGAACTGAGTGTTCGACGAACCTTAGTCGATTCGACCAAGTTCTGACCGTTACCCCAGTTCCTTGCGTACACAGGCGGTGGAGATGTGAAATATCGCGACATCTTTCGATCAATTCGGTTATAACAGTACAAACGGACAGGTATACGGACAGGATTAACAAAACCTAAGATTCAAACCACGCCTAAGGAACCTGTGTTTGGCGCGAAATGAATCTGAAATCGAACAGAGGGACAGAGAGACGAAAACCCTATCCGTTTTTTTTTTGTTTCTCAATTCGAAATGAGAGAGAAGAGAAAAAGAATAATTGGATGAGAAAATAATGGAGAAGGTAAGGTCTATATTTAAAGACGCGTGATCCGCCGTCTCAGCCTATGCTTACGTTTTCACAAGGGAATATTTGTGTAGAAATGAAAACCCTAATCGTTAGATATCTTTTTCTTAAGGGCTACTTTCGTCCTTTCATCAGCATCTCCGTGTAACTCGGTCCGCGAGTTTCCTACGTCATCTGAAAAGACCTTCTTCTCCCTTTACGTATCACTTACTCTTATTAGGCTTCTCTTCTTATTGGGCTTAAATCTAATTTATGGCCCAATTGAATTAATCATTAATAAGTCTTGTCCAACTAGATTCCTCGCACTTACACAGAAAAGACAGCTAGAATCTTCTGTGGGCGTGTATCCACCACCCTTTAAAATCATCTCTAACTTCTAATCGACGGTTCCTAATAAAGCCACGTCTACATTTCTGAAAGCTAACGTAGTTCGCGACAACGCACAAGTCTTCTTCCCTCCACCAAATATTCTCTTGACTCCGATCTATCTATCGTTTCCTCTCCGATTAAATCTGATCGGATTCTCGCCAAAACTACAACGACCACCACATCAGCGATGCAACAAGGAGATTACAATTCCTTTTAGCTTTGGAGAATCGTATTTTGGTAATTTGTTATGTCAGAGTAGGCTTCTGATATTTTTAAAAGTGATGCTGCTTATATGAAGCTGATTCTTGATGTGCAGGCGGAAGTGTCCCAAAGGTTGAGTTATGCCAAGGAATATGCTAGTAGGAACGTGAGCGTACAGACCCATGGAGACCTCACTAGAAAGTTACAGGTTAACTTAATATCTCGGGTGTCTTTATGAACTTAACCAGTAGGAATTTGAGTTGATATCCCGCACCAATTATATACTTGGTTCCTGATTGTGGGTTTGTTTGTCACAGGAGGAAATGGAGAAGAACCGCAGGTCTTCATCTGGTAATTATTTACGTTTAATATAGTTCATGGTTTTGGTTTATGTTTCTTCTCATTAATGGTTTTGTTGAGAAGGATAGATATGACTTCAACAGGTTCGAGGGAAGGATCTGGAAGGCGGATGAAGGAGGTCGCTTGTCCAACATGTACAGTGCACTTTCAGGTTAGATTCTTTTATAACCCGTCTTTCTTTGTATGATTTTTGGGTCCTATATTTTCTAGAACAAGTAAAACATGGGATACATCACTTGTGTCAGAGTGTATAATCATCTTGCAAATACATTAACGAAATAAAATAGCTAGAGTACATGTTTGATAATCTTAACATGGACCTATGAGATCTCTTCTACTCATTGGGTCATTTATTTTATAAATGTGAGGATAGAAATTCTAAGCATGCGAGCTCTAGTATCGAACAGCTAGGTATCTAACAAAATTAGATCATTGAGATTGTTGCTTGATCATCTAAACAGTTAGTTAAAGCAAGTCGATATAAGGACTTGAGCCAAATTGGATATTTGAAGTTTGCCTTTTGTGTGGTCTCTTTGATACCATGTATGCGGTGATAAGACCATTTCCATATGAATTGCAGGTTTCAGGTTCCAATCTCAGGATCAGAGACCATTGAGTGTGGGGTTTACCAAAATCCTTTCCTTGTTAGCTCGCATTGATAATCCTTACCCGCTGTTCATTGGTTCCTTGACATGGTGACATATATTGTCAATTAAACGTATGCGGTTTGGTCATTTTGGCAATTGAACTGGGTTTGTTCACACCAAAAATAAGTTGTTGGTCGTGTCTCTCATGTGGATGCTGGTTCCCATTTGTGTGTATACGAGTGTCTTTCGAGTGATGAAGAATCTTTTATGTAGCCCGACTCTTTGATGACTGATTGTTTGATTTTACTCATCAATATTTCTGACCATTTATTTGATCCGTGAGTTTTTAAAAAAAAAATTATATATGATTTCTTTGTTCATGTAAAAGATATTAAAAATGAGAACTCGTGCCCTTTATATGGTTGTATATTAAAACTGATAACTATGACAACAATAAATGTCCATAACACTTGGTTATAGTTTAAACTGTGTCCTTAATTTAGGGTGGGGGATGATTAAATCAAGCCTAATATGGTGGAGAACGTGGAGTACATGGTAGAACCACGAAAATGCACCCAAGACAACTAGTGTTATATAATTAAGATATAACGCATGGATCTATATCATTAAACATAGTGTCAAATTCTCTCCTTAATTCGCAACATTCATCAAACTTCCAACATCCACTCGACGATACTATTCAGAAAAAGAACAACCCAGTTCGATTTTGTTTCTCTCATCATTATTGTATTCTTCATGACCACATCACTGCACCGGTGAGTTTCCCATCAAAAGCCACATTTCCAGCCAGCGTTGATAGTTTTTGGCGATTTGTATGCCGATACCAGAAAATAATGTTTTATGCAGTTGTAATATTGTCACGTTAATAACATGTTTGCTAGAAGCCTAGAATGGGGTTCGATAAAAAATTTAAACCTTAATATAAAAACTCAATATCTTTTCGATACTTATACTTAGGGGTGGGCACGGATCGGATATCCAGGTTTTCAAAAGTATTTGTGATTTGTTTCGTATGTTACGGATATCTGATTTTGATATTTGCTTTGCTTCAAAAAAATATGGATATCCGAAAAACGGATATTCGAAAAATAAATAGATATTTGCGGATATTTACGAATACTTACGAATATCTCATCCGTTATAAATAATCTTAAAAAAATGATATAAATTTATTTTCTAAAATACTTTTTTGCATAATATATAAAATAAAAAAGTAAAGAAGCAGTCAGTTTACATATTTTATAATTTTTAAGTTTAAGTTAACAATTATAATAACACAAAACTTAAGATTTTTTTTTATAATTTTCATAATTTATCTTTTCGCTTTATCTAATACTTTTATATAAGTAATAATGTGAATATAATTAGTCAAATCATAAGCTATAATAATAATTTTATACATTTAAATTTAAATATAATCAATATATACATGTATTTATATATTTCTGGATCGGATTGAATATCAGCTTCCCAAAATTTTAATATTTGTGATTTACTTCGATTTTAACGGATATTAATTTTTAGTATTTAATTTGATTCAAAGTTTACGGATATCCGGAATTTTCGAATCGAATCGAGACAAATAACGAATCGAATCAAATTTAACGAATAAAATGCCCAGCCCTACTTGTACTTCCTCGAATCATCGTGCTCATGTCTCACTTGTTCGAGTTGTTATAAAATAATAAATGGAATCGTCTAGTATTTTCTTTTTCTTTCTTTGAATGGAAACAGTGCTAGATTGCGAAACGAGAGTGAGACTAATGGTGGTTTACGGATTATCAGGAAAGTTCGAAATTGTGTGAATGAGAAAGAAGACATAGAAGACAAGTTTCTTCTTCCCATAACCATCTAAACCGCATGCTTGTGTCTAAATTTTTTTTTTTTATTTCAGTCTGAATAAAAACACTTTTTGCTACTTCTTTATATTCCGGAGTTTCATAACAAATTCTTTTTGTTTTTCTTTATCAGACGTATAAGAAATAAGAATATATAACCAATATGCAATATAATATGGTTTCGCGTTCTTGTTCCAAACTATTTCGATGTGTTTTGTTTCTGCCACTATTTTTTATCTTCTATGTTGCTTCAGCTAGACGCTTAGAGCAAGTTCCGGAGCCGAATCCATCTCCAAGTCCAGGGCCAGCCCCAGCTTCAGAGCCAAAGCCATGTCCAAGTCCAGGGCCAGCCCTGACACCAGTTCCCACTAGGCCACGCAACACGTCGTTTCCTGCGATCTTTGCATTTGGGGATTCAATCGTAGACACAGGAAATAACGATTACATTACCACATTAGTCAAAGCTAATTTTCCCCCCTATGGCATGAATTTTCCACATGGATTGGCCACTGGCAGATTTTGCAACGGCAAAATCCCTGCTGATTTTATAGGTGATTTTAGCCATTTCTTTTAGTACATTTATAAGACTAAACATAGATTTTCCCACGCATAACTACGCAAGATGTCATTTGCGTCTGCTAGAGAGTCAATATTTTGTGTATTTTTAATGGGACATTGTTACTAACATCGATCTTGTTTGGTCTTTACTTTCACAGCGGAATTTTTAGGAGTAAAACCAACTTTACCTCCATACTTGAAGCCAGGGCTAACCCAAGAAGATCTCATCACTGGTGTATCCTTTGCTTCGGGTGGTTCTGGCTTCGATCCTTTGACACCTATCGTAGTAGTAATAACATCTGATTATCCTTTGCATTTCTAATTACCTCTCCTCAATTTTAAAACCTTGTTCATTTGATTACATTTTTGTTTTCATGTGTCATCAATAATGTTATACCTAAGAGCGCGATACCGATGTCAAACCAGTTGACATATTTTCAAGAATACATAGAGAAAGTGAAAGGCTTCGTGGGAAAAGAGAAAGCTGATCACATAATATCAAAAAGTCTAGCCATTGTGATTGCGGGCAGTGATGATCTAGCTAATACCTACTATGGAACGCATGCAGAAGAATTATTATATGACATCGATGCATATACCTCTTATATGGCTAGCTCTGCTGCAAGTTTCGCTATGGTAGGTTGATTTTTTTTTTTTTTTTAAAACTATGTTCCAGTTAAGTAGTGAGTATAATAGAGTGGTGAAATTTTGGCAGCAACTATATGAAATTGGAGCAAGAAAGATAGGATTCATTGGTGTTTCGCCAATTGGGTGTATACCAATACAAAGAACCACAAGAGGGGGACTTAAGCGAAAGTGTGCTGATGAAATAAACGTTGCAGCTCAGCTTTTCAATACCAAACTCTCCAGAAGTTTGCATTCAGTGGCTGAGACCTTGAAAAACACCACTTTGGTGTATATTGATATCTACGCTCTCTTCGCTCATATGATCCAAAACCCAAAAGAATATGGTAATTAATTTTCAGCCACACTGTTGTGTATATATAATATGTGAATGAGCTTGAGATTATGTTTTTATTGTTTTTGTTTTTGATGTTTGCAGGATTTGATGATATTGATAGAGGCTGTTGCGGGACAGGGATGGTCGAATTAGGTCCGCTTTGCAACCAATTTACATCACTTCTTTGCAAAAATGTGTCTTCTTATATCTTTTGGGACAGTTACCATCCAACGGAAAGAGCTTATAGAATTTTAACCAAAAAGTTTGTCGAGACTGACATGAGCCCTTTCTATGACGAATAAATGTAGTTTTAAGATGTGTCTACTGATTATATAATTTGGGTAAATAAAATCTGCATCTCATTTGGTTTAATATTTTCTTGGAACATTATTTGGTATAATTTTCCAGTTCCTGACTATTGTATGATACATATAATATTAACATGGAACAAGGAATAAAAAAAAAACAACTTTTACCATGGGATGATGGGAACAATTTCATTGAAACTTTTTCCTCTTTGAAAACATAAGAGATGCGCCTAATTAAGTAAATCAAACGTAAAAATGGCGTTGAATTATCGTGTGATGAATCAATTCAATAAACAAAATCCAAATTTTCTTCTTGTTTCATTTAGATTTCGGTCTAAACAGTTAATATGATAGATCGTAATAGACAATTACTTCACCTTTTGACAAACTGGGGTAACAGCAGAGTGGCAACCAGTCCGTTTTGAAGCATTAAGTGTATTTCGTCTAAAACTGACTGGATAGTTCATAGGTTTATAAAAAAAGTAACTAAAGGTTAATTTAAATTAAAAGGCTAGTAACGATTTTTTGTTTTTTAAAAAGGCCAACGCACTAGGAACTTTTCGCCCTAAGACATAGAGTCGCATATACATCATTGCTTCTAGTTGTGTCTTGTGAGAGAAACTAGATTACATAGCCATAACCCTAACACCAAAATCAAATTAAGTGATGACATTTTCTTGGGTTTAATCTCTAGATATTGAAGATGCTTAAGAGAGAGTTAAGTTCCGAGGAGCCACGAAAGGAAGTTAAGTTCCGACTACAAATTGAATATAAAGGTAGTGTATCTCAAAATGTGTGATTAGAGAAGCCGTGTGACACAAGCATCTTCAACAGGGCCACATAAATTGCATGCAATAACTTACGTTATGCATATATATACATAGGCACTCGCAGATTGATATTCATATTGACATGACAGTTGAAATGGCTTGAATGGAATTTGTCTTACTACTAGTTGTAGTAGAAGCATGAAGCAATCTTCTATGGTCCATTCTTGTTCTTGTTCGATACTATTTCGTTTTGTTGTCTTTCTCATATCCTTTTGTATCTTCTTTGTGACAACGACCCATGCCCAAGTAGTCCACCGACGGCTCTGGCCATGGCCAGCAATACCTTGGCCAACAATGCCTTGGCCATCCAGACCTTGGCCCTATCCATGGCCAATGGAACCACCAGAACATGGCCCACCACCAGGCCCATCACCAAAGCCAGGTCCATCACCTGGCCCATCTCCATGCCCACCAATACCACCTAAGCCGCAACCAAAGCCACCACCAGTGCCTGGTCCATCTACATGCCCACCACCTAAGCCGCAACCAAAGCCACCACCAACGCCTGATCCACCGGCATGTCCACCAATACCACCTAAGCCTCAACCAAAGCCACCACCAGCCCCTGGTCCACCGGCATGTCCACCAATACCACCTAAGCCTCAGCCAAAGCCACCACCAGAACCTGCCCCGTCTCCATGCCCACCTCGACCACCAAATCCCCAACCAAAGCCACCACCAGCACCTGCTCCATCACCAAAGCCAGAGCCATCACCGCCACCACCTAAACCACCTAGTCCAGCTCCGAAACCTGAGCCACCACCTGCCCCATCGCCAAAACCTAGTCCACCTGAGCCATCGCCAAAACCAAAACCTAGCCCACCGCCAAAACCTAGTCCACCTGAGCCATCGCCAACACCAAAACCTAGCCCACCGCCAAAACCTAGTCCACCTGAGCCATCGCCAAAACCTAGTCCACCTGAGCCATCGCCAAAACCAAAGCCCAGCCCACCGCCAAAACCTAGCCCATCACCGAAACCTAGCCCACCTGCCCCATCACCACCTAAGCCAGAAAACAAAACCATACCAGCCGTGTTCTTCTTTGGGGATTCGATATTTGACACAGGAAATAACAATAATCTAAAGACAAAGATAAAAAGTAACTACCGTCCCTATGGTATGGATTTTCCTTCGAGAGCAGCCACCGGTAGATTCAGCAACGGAAAGGTCGCTTCTGATTATATATGTTCGTACTCTCTCTATCTCTCTCACTTTCACCTTCATCTTCTTATGCGCCTAACTTAGCTCAATGAGTCTTTTTCATTGATATAGATTTAACTCTTTTTTAACAATTTCCTCTTATAAGTATTTTTCTCATTGTATCCTGCTTCTACTAGCCAAATATTTGGGAGTAAAAGAATTAGTACCCGCATATGTAGACCAGAAGCTACAACAAAACGAACTACAACGAAGCGATCTACTTACGGGCGTCTCTTTTGCTTCGGGTGGTGCTGGCTTCGATCCTGAAACATCTGAATCAGTGGTAAATTAAGATCGAATTCACAAATCCCCTAGATCTTTTTTTAGCAACGTTAATTATTATTAATACACTGATTTATCATTTTAAATTATTTAAATCAGGACGTTATACCAATGTTGGACCAATTGTCATATTTTCAAGACTACAAAAAGAGGGTGAAGAAGCTAGTAGGAAAAAAAGAGGCTAAACAAATCGTGTCCAAAGGAGTAGCCATTGTGGTCGCAGGAGGCACCGATCTGATTTATACATATTTTGGAATTGGTGGTCAAAACCGTAAAATTGACGTCGACTCTTACACCACTACTATGGCTGACTCTGCTGCCAGTTTCGTTATGGTACGTATTACTAGTATCGAAAACTCATAACGATGTGATATTTTAATCCAAAAAAAAAGAAAACAATAATTTACATATGCAAAATTTTGGGCAGCAACTGCATGGATATGGAGCAAGACGTATAGGAGTGATCGGAACACCACCGCTTGGTTGTACACCATCACAAAGGGTTAAAGACAAAAAGTTATGCGATGAAGAGATAAATTATGCTGCTCAGCTTTTTAATTCTAAGCTAGCTATGATTTTGGGTCAACTGTCGCGAACCCTACAAAATTGTACATTGGTTTACATGGACATCTACTCTATCTTCAGTAAAATGCTGGAAAACCCTGCGCACTATGGTAACTATTATTAATATTATTATTCATATAGGTTGATTATAATATATCATCATATGAATTTGGAAAAAAATATTTGCATGCAGGATTTGAGGAGGTAAAGAAACCGTGCTGCAAAATCGGAGTAACGGGAGTATTGTGCAAAAAGAAGACATCAAAAATATGTTCCAATACATCGTCTTATTTGTTTTGGGACGGTGCCCACCCCACTGAGAGAGCTTATGAAACGTTAAACAAAAAACTTGTTAAAAAATACCTCCGTTATATCTGATTAATAACTATCTTTATTACATTATTAATACCACCAAAAGGAAAACATTTGCAACGTACTAAAAATGTAGGCATGAGCGGTTTCTGCGACTAATAATGCAAACAACATTTGAGATACCCACTTAAGCCTTCTGTTTTGTATCAAACGTCTTCCTCACCGAGCCAGCCATGCTTATCTAAGATTTACACTAGCTAGATTAGATATTTATAGAGTATCTGAAAACTTTTTTTTGAAATGTGCATGGAATAACAGCAAATTTTAAAATATTGTAGTTATGATTTACAGGAGATCCAAGACCACTATATTTTAATACATGGTTTAGAATTATTGACTGAATAACATTAGATTAAGTTGGATTTTACAACTGGTTGATTATACTCCATTGTAAAATAATATATTAAAATTTATAATTGAATTACACCCTCGATCATTCATTTAAGTGTCGCTTGTAAAGGTTTTGTGAATAAATATAATATTGCTGCTTTTAAGTAATCTAGTTGAATATATAACATGGAGGATGACCACATTAATATGATTAAATTTGCACATTCTTGTAGGGTAAATCACTCTGATAATTCAGTGCAAATGAGTGGTAAGACCTGATTTGTTAGATTTACTAAAGATAGAATCAGCCTAATGATAGAAGTGGGGAGTGTTCATTTAACCACAAAATAAACAAGTTTCATACCATTATTTGAGGGACTCGATTAACTCTCTCAGCCCTTCACTTGTGTATAAATATATGTAAACCGATAATGTACAACTTAAAAAGAAAACATAAAACTACAGCTAGATTTTTTATAAAAAAAACATAAAAACATAAAAAAGTATCTTATCAGCAATCTCTTTAAGATGAATTGTATAGCCACAAAGTTTCTAGTAGTATTGTTAACTTTATGGCTTTCATATATTCATGATGTACAAGCTGGAAAATTTCCAGCGATTCTTGCATTTGGAGATTCGATTCTCGATACTGGTAACAACAATAAGCTAATGACAGTGTCGAGGTGCAACTTTTTGCCGTACGGACGCAATTTTCCTTATCGTATACCTACTGGACGATTCGGGAACGGAAGAGTACTATCGGATTTAGTTGGTATATTGTTCTTCACCTAACTCATAATCAAACAAATTTTAATATATTATTTTACAATGGAGTATAATCAACCAGTTATATATAGCTACATCCTTAAAAGGACATGATATGTGTATATGTAGCCCAGGGTTTAGGGATAAAGAATCTTGTACCTGCTTTCCGTAGCTCCTTCCTTAAAAGTAGCGAGCTTCCTACCGGAGTTTGCTTTGCGTCTGGTGGTTCAGGCCTAGACAAATCCACTGCATCCATACAGGTTATTAAAAAAAAAGATAGTTATTACCTTCGTTAAAAAAGTTGATGATCTTAATTAAATTATCCTATATGGTATGGTTAGTTAAAAATAAACCCTATGTGGATTCATTTATAGGGCGTTATATGGGTACAAGATCAGCTGAAAGACTTCCAAAGTTACATACAAAGATTAACCCAAGAAGTTGGAGATGCCGCTAAAGTTAAAGCGATTATAGCCAATGCTGTGGTTCTAATCTCTGCTGGAAATAATGACATTGCTATCACATTTTTTGGAATTCGGGTTAAGAAATTGAGATACAATATTGAAACATACACTGATCAGCTCATACAATGGCATGCTGCGTTTATACAGGTATATAAGACAATCTACAATGTTTTGGTTATAGTTTCTAGTTATTTAAATAATATTGTTGAGTTATAACTATTCTTTAATATGAAAATCAATGCAGGGTCTATATAATATGGGAGCGAGAAAATTTGCGGTTCTTGGAACGTTACCGTTAGGGTGTTTGCCAGGGGCGAGACAAATGGCCGGAGATTTGATATGTCTTCCGCATGTGAACCATGGTGCTATGTTATATAATCAAAAGCTAGCGAACTTGGTCGTAAAATTCAAACAAACTCTCCCTGGTGCCAAACTCGTCTACATCGATATGTACAATTCACTTCTTGCCGTCATCCAAAATCCTAGTAAATATGGTAAATTGATCAACACTGGCTAACTATTAATTAATACATGTGTTGTTTTCCTTGTTGTAGATAAAACCAAGGGTTATAGTTTCAAAATTTTAATACATTTCAGGGTTTAGAACGGCAAAGCCATGTTGTTGCTCGGTGATGACCCCGATTCCATGCTTAGATGCTGGTAGCCATGTATTCTGGGACTTTGCACATCCTTCTGAAAAAGCCTATCAAGCCGTTCTACCCAAGATCGTCAGTGTCATCAGCACTAACCTTGCTTAGTCACTATATTACTGTAATTTTCTTTTTATCTGTTTAGACATAAAGGCCCATGAACGGTGATTTTGAGTCTGGCACTTGGTGTTAGTACTTGTTCTCATCTCTGTGGTTTAGTTTGGCTCATGTTACTATCAACTAATAAAATCATGGATGATTTCATCAGGCCCGGCTCAAAAGATAGGTGGCCTTGTGCCATATATTTGTTTTTTCCTGTTGATGGATGATTTTAAAAGTTGGATTAATATTCCTAATCTAAAAGAATTTCAGAATCTAGGACCATAAAATAGTGATAGAAATGTAATGAAAAAGTGAGGACCTTGTATATTTGCACCCTCAGCACTCCCTCAAAACACTCCCCAAAGCCGGCACTGGAATTCATTTTGCAATCTATGTGCTTATTATAGATTTCTAACTATTTTTGTGTCGAAGAAAAATTAAGTGAACATCTCATTAGCTATTTTCCTTGGTTACTGACATGTATGTGTATCTAGCCATGTCTCCAAGCTAATTGAATATTCTAACTTGACTGTTTATTTGAACATCAACTCAAATAGTGGATATGTATGTGTAACAACAACACATACATTTCAGCAAAAAAGGATATTTATGTGTAACAACAACACATACATTTTAGGAAGAAAAAAAAAAAACATACATTTCAGGGTTTGCCGTTGTAAACCCTGAAATTTATCAAAGTTTGAAACTATAAGTTTATAACCCTTGGCTTCATACATCTACAACAAGAAAAACAACCCATATGTATTAAGAACTAGCCAAACGTGTATATATTGTATCATCACTTCAATCTACACGTCAAAACATCTAGTAGAGTATATATTTGCTCCGAATAACCCGTTTTCTTTTTCATTATTTATTGGGTATGTTATAATGCCATGCATAATCTTGTTGTATTTGGGCGGTGAGTATCTTGACCATAAATATTACCGAATAATGTAGAGTCATTGCCGATAAGCCACACTAACTATAGATCAAGTAGATTTTAGTTTCTATGACCATCACCATCGGTAAAATTCTAAAAATCAGTGTGTTAACCATTAAATAATAATATTATAGCCTAATAAAGTTTTTTGATTAAGTTTTATTTTGTTTGTAAATGATAAACGATTTATATAATGACATGTGGCAATTTGTGTTATAGAACCGCGTCCAAAAACTATCTGCATAAACCCGTTTTCAACATTCTCTCTCCTTGTTCTATTATTTTAATATTTAAATTTTTAGAGAACTCCTATCAAAATACAATGGATGGACATGCTCTAAGTAGATCGTCTAGTCGCATCCTAACACATGTCAGTTTGATAACCTTGGTAATATAAGTGTACAAAATTACATTGGACATATGTAAACAAGCAAAATATCAGACTAGTTTAAATTTAAAAACGACCTTTTTATTTCAAGATATCTATACATTTTTTGGCACAATGTATGTCAGGTTGATATTTGAATACATATCCATTATTTAATTTTGACAGCTTAGTTATATAATCCACAAGTTCCTATTTTCTTATTCTTAAATACACTTTCCTTATTTTCCACAACTTCTTAACAATTTTTTAAAAAGATTTTCTACTTTTTTTTACGACTTATTTTTTTGATGACTTTTATTTTCTACTTTTAAAACTTTAGATATCAGAAATCTTTCTCAGCATCATCCAAATATGCAAATATTATAGCATCATCCAAATATGAAAATATTATCTTAAAATATGGAATGTAATATATACATTTTTTATTTTCTCTTTTTTATTTATTATAATAATAGAAGGATATCAATAAACCAACTTTTATACAATATAGTCAAGACTTTCTAGTTTAACCATTAGGTCCTATAAATAAAGCACCAACACACCAACCTTTGTATTCAATCATCATTTCCCTCTCCACCTTTTCGAATACTTTGCAACTATGTCGAAGAAGATCACTCTCAAGAGCTCCGACGGCATATCTTTCGAGGTCGATGAAGCCGTTGCCCTCATGTCTCCGAGAATCGAACGCATGATCGAAGAAGACCGCACTGGTAATGGAATCACTCTCCCAAACGTGAAGAGTGCAGCCCTCGCCAAGATTATCGAGTACTGCAAGAAGCACGCCGAAGCCAACGCTGATGACACTGAGCTCAAGGCTTGGGACTTAAATTTCGTCAAACTAGACAAGGATACTTTCTTCGCTGTCGCCTTTGTAAGTCACTCGTTCTCTTTCCCTTTGTGTTCTTAGCCAATCATGGTTTTAGAATGTTGTTTTTGAGTAAGGATTGAGTCTTGTGATGATATTTTGTAGGCTGCAAAAGATTTGAACATCCGTGGACTTGTTAACCTTATGATCAGTATTCTGGCTAAGATGGCGAAGGCTTACACTTCCACACCTGAGGAAGAAGCTGAGGGCAGTACCGGTCAGAACTTTTAAAATACTACAAGCTAATTGAGAAAATAGGGGGGCAAAATGGCATACTCAGGGTTTGAAGCAGCTAGATGTTTTATTTTCTCTTTTGGTTTGAATAATTGAGTATGTGCCAAACTTTATTTCTCTATATCACATAAAAATAATAATAAAATATGTGATCGCTATCATCAGATTTGCATGTCACAACGTACGAACTCCTACTTCTGTACATTCCATTGGACCATGTGATTGATCCAATTCGAAACACATCTTTTTAAGTGTGGATGTACGTAGAAAATGAAAAGATCATTAGTTTATCTCCTACCTTCTTGAAGTATAGCCTTCTTGGCATCACTCTGACTCGTAACCTTTTGGTGCATTGATGCTCACGTTGTAGCCAGTGACTTCATCTCCAGTGAGGCGTGATGCTACATTAGTTACACTTCTGCTTTCTTCTCCACTGAAGTATGAGATTTAGATTGATGGGTATTGATATTTTTAATTATTTTTTTGATATGTCATATCAGCTAATCCGAATTGTCTCGGGAGGAAGGAACTAAAATAATAGATTAGATACTACATTATACGATTCGAGTTTAGATACGAGCTTGGATAGTCTTCCGACTAACACTAGGGGTAACTAGATTGTGTTCGTTAATGAATTACCATATAAACTGAATAGACCAAAACTCAAACTAGACTACCCAAATATTAACAACTTTGTTTCGAGTAAGAATCAAATCCAGTATAGATGGATTTACACTACCCAATTTTTTACCACTAGACTACCATTGTTTGATTAGGTAGTTAATATTAGATGTGCCCTTAATTAATTTTCTCAGGACAAGCAAAATATGTGGTATGCAATTTGAAATCTTAATTTCTGATGTGATCAAGTGAACCAGACTTAGCATTGGAAGTCCAATGAGTATATCACTAGCTATTTTCTTGGTTATTGGATGTGTATGTGTATTTAGTAGTCATGTATTCAGGCTAAGGCTAAGCTGAATATTCAAATATTCTAAATTGGATTTTTTTTTTTGGGGCCTCTTGAAAATGAGACCCTCCAAAAATAGGTGTATGCCCCCGATATTCTTGCTCTAAAAGTTGGGTTTTTTTTTTGGTTGAAAAAGGACTTTCTAAGTCGGTTGTTGTTATAATCAACTGAAATGGTGGATATGTGAGTACATCGAGTATACATCCACCCAAAGTCTAAAAATATCATAGACTATCTTGTATCACAACTTTCGATATAACGACTTAAGATCTACTAGGGTATATTTTGCTTTATTTTTTTTTTCTGATGAGAGAAGCTCCGAGCACATGATCGTCGTGGCTTTCATGATTAAGCTAGCAGTTGCGATAGCACCGACACATAATCTTGACTGGGCAGTGACCATCGTTACCGAATAATGTAATAGTCATATTGCTGATAACCACCTCAAGTAGAATTTGGTTAATTTTCTAGTTAGATCGTCTAGTCACATCCTTACACATGTCAATTTCACAGCCTTAACAATATAATTAGATATCGACCCGCACAACCGTGCATGTATTTTAATACGAAAATATTTGAAACTATATAATACTCCCTCCGTTTTAAATTATATGATGTTTTAAGAGATTTATTTTGTTTCAAAGTATAAGATGTTTTGAAAATTTAAGGTATATTTGAGGTTTTAAGGTTACTTTTAATTTTATTGGAAACTATTCAACCAATAAAAGTTTAGTGTTTTTTTAATAATTTGTTGAATGCTTTTAAAACTATATCTTTAAAAATATTTTTGTAAAATAATGTTAATTTTTTAATCTTTATGCAATGATACAAAATCATATATTAAGAAACGGAGGGAGTAAAATTTATCAATAAATAAATATAATTTGATTCTGTATACTATCTAATTTTATAATAAAAATTTATGAGGTTTATAATATTATTAATATAAAATTTATAAATTTTTATTTTTGTAAAAAAATTTAAAAACATTATTATGTAACTTTACTAATTTATATATTTTGTTTTATTTCTAAATTTGAAATATATGTAAAAATTAAATTAAGTTAGACCTACATAATACATAAACAAAATTTTGGGATATTGTTAAAAGTATTTTACATAATTTTAATTTTTTGGTATAAATAAAAAATGAATTAAAATTTTAATTATATTTTATGACAATTAAAATTCTAATCAAATAATTTTCGAACTTTATCTTGAAAAGATTATAAAAGATTTGTAAAAGATTTTGTTAGAATTTTCTTAAAACTATTTATTGTTATTTCAAATAAAATTAAAGATATGAAAAGATATTATAATGATGTTATGTAAAATTTTATAAAATTTCTAAGGATGGTCCAAACTAAAAAATCACACGTGAAATAAGTTATGAATTCTCTTTTAATATAATAGATACATGTCTATAAATTACATTTGACATAAACAAGGCAACAAATCATACAATTTTAATTTGAAAAGGATTTTTTTTTTTCAAGATTTCTTTGTTCTTTTAGTACAATGTAAGCCATGTTTATATTAAGTACAATATCATTGATTATTTAAATTTACAGCCTAATTAAGTTCATAATCTCACCCAAAAAATAACTCCTACATTTACCTTTCCTTATTCTCCAAAAACCACCTAACAATTTCTTTTATTTTCTACTCTTAAAACTTCATCACATCATCCGAATATAGAAATTTCAAATTAAAATTTAGAAGTATATATATTCACATTTTATTATTTTCCTGGATAACAACAAACTAACATTAATATATAATTTAGATTTAGATTCTCTAGCTTTAACAATCATCAGGTCCTATAAATAAAGCACCAATATCAACCAACCTTTGTATTCATTCATTCATCATCTCATCTCCCTCTCTCTGCCAACTATGTCGAAGAAGATCATCCTCAACAGCTCCGACGGCGAATCTTTCGAGGTCGACGAAGCCGTTGCGCTCGAGTGTCTGACGATCAAACACATGATCGAGGACGAGTGCACCGATAACGGAATCCCTCTTCCAAACGTCAACGCTGCAACTCTCGCCAAGGTTATCGAGTACTGCAAGAAACACGTGGAAGCAGCCGCCGAAGCCAAAGCTAGAGACAAGGATGTCTACGGTTCAGACGTCGATGACACCGAGCTCAACACTTGGGACGAAGATTTCGTCAAAGTCGACCAGCCTGTCCTCTTTGATCTCATCCTTGTGAGTCACGCTTTCTTTGCCAGTTAATTAGGGTTTCTAATCATGCATGATTTCGTGAGGGTTTGAGTAAAGATTGATCTTATCCTTGTGAGTCACGCTTTCTTAGCCAAATTAGGGTTTCTAATCACGCATGATTCTGTAGGGTTTGAGTAAAGATTGCTCTTATCCTTGTGAGTCACGAGGGTTTCTAATCATGCATGATTCTGTTAGGATTTGAGTAAAGATTTGATCTCAGCCTTGTGAGTCACGCTTTCTTAGCCAATTAGGGTTTTTAATCATGCATGATTCTGATAGGGTTTTGATGATTTTTTTTTTGTTAGGCTGCAAACTTTCTGAACATCCCTGGGCTTCTTGACCTAACATGCAAGACTGTGGCCGATATGTTTAAAAACAAGACTATAGATGAGATCCGCACACACTTTCACATCAAGAACGACTACACAGCTGAGGAAGAAGCTGAGATTCGCGCTGAGCATGCATGGGCATTTGAGTGACTTGTTGAAGTTGTCTTATGTTGTTTCTTTTCTCTTTTGGTTTGAATAATTGAGTCTGTAACAAACCTTATTTTCACCTTTATTATATAGTTATCAAAAGCATATTATATATCAGCTTTGCTAGTTACAACGAACGGACTCCTAACTCTGTACATTTCATTGGACCATGTGATTGAACCAAACGCATCTTCTTGAAGTGTAGATGTAGAAGATGAAAATATCACTTGGTAGCTTAGTTTATCTCCTATCTTCTTGAAGTGTAGACTTCTTGGTATCACTCTGACTCGTAACCCTTTTGGTGCATCGATGGTTACATTGTATACAGTATCTTCCTCTCCAGTGAAGCGTGATCCTACGTTAGTCACTGTTCTGGTTACCCTTCTGGTTTCTTCTACATTGAAGTTTGAAACTGAGATTGATGGGTAGTTGATGTTAGATATGTCTCCCTTATTGCTTTGTTCAGGACAAGCAAAGCCTTGTGGTATACGGTTTGAGATCCTTCTGATCTGATCAGAAGTGAAGCTGATATAGCAGAGGAAGTTCAGGTAGTCTGTTTGACTGGTTTCATAAACCAGTCCAGGTGAGGAAGGTCCAAATATGGTAACCTGACCAGCACCAAAGTCATAAGGTGTGGCCTTGTCTCCTGTTTCTGTAGTTATATGTGATCCTGTGTTGGTCATTTGCACGGCTGCAGATACAGATATAGTGTTAATACAAAGGGTTATGATGATTCTGTAATCTTTAACTGAGTTTTTACCTGTTGTCATGATGGCAGATCTTATTGCTGCAGGACTCCATGAAGGGTTTTCAGATTTGAGACGAGCGGCTATCCCTGAGACATGAGGACATGACATTGAAGTACCTGATTCAATGTTGACAAGTGGCGGTTCCTTGCCTTGTGGTGCTGCATTTAAGTCACCTATTACCCAAGATGCTAGTATGTTGACCCCTGGAGCTACAATATCAGGCTGTAACATGGAGTTAAAGTTAATTAGTCCACAATAAAAATGTGAGTGAAATTGAGAGCTTTAATTTTCTTACCTTGAGGATGCTTTTGGTAAGCATGTAAGGACCTCTTGATGAGAAAGATGGTATGGATGGTGCTAATTCATGTCCTGTTCTTGATCTTGTTGGCATGAACATTGCTATCGGTTCTCTACAAAGTGGATTATGATATAGATTAATGCAATCTCTTGTGTAATGAGACATCTTTTTTTTTTTTGTTTACCTTGTTGAGTTTATGTAGGACATGATTTCTAGCCCCTCCACTTGTTTTACTATTGTCACTAGAAAGGAGGGATCAATATAAGACAGATCCATTGACTTGTCGTCAATAACTATCACACCAGTACCACCAAGTGATTTAACCTCTTCACTCTTCCATTGGATCGCCTGGTTACCATAATCATTGTCACACACTACTATCTTTCCTTCAACTATGGTTCTGTTCATCGTGTTACCCGCACAGTTCCTGAAGTATTTGAAGTTGCTTGTCTTGTTAGTACAAAGAAAAGTTGATCTATAATTTCAAGAGGCAACTGTTTACCTAGCAGAGTCCTCATTAGCACCAATCGTCTTGGCTGATCTTGCATGTATAATAGGGTAAGATTGAGTTCTATCAATATTGGCTATATTTATTCCAGCACCCTGCACTATCTACGAAGCTTAGGATTGTTAATGTATGGAGACTTGTCAGTGTTGAGGGCCTTGAGGCTAGCACTGGGCCTTCGGTTTTACGTTATCCGGGTTTGGGGTGTTTAGGATTGGTTTGGTTGGGGTAATGTCAAGGTTCGGTCGGTTTCTATTTTTTTTTTTTTAATCTAAAACATAACCGAATTAGAAATGGTTGGAATTTAAAGCCGAAAACCTATAGGTAATTCAGGTTTTTCAGATAATTTTTTATTTATAAATTATATTTATTAGAAAAGTAAATTAAAATAATTTATATTATATTTTATTTGATTTTAGATATTCGGGTATCGGTTCAGTTCTCGATTTCTTTTCTATTTTTTTGTTTTGTTTTTTTCGGTTTGGTTATGGTTCGATTTTTGGGTTTTGGATAATAAGCCCAGAACTAAGGCTTACCTTGATCATTCTGATGTCATCTAGTCCTCCCAGAATAATGTTAGACTCAAAGCCACGGTCAATAGTACTTGCACCAACAGTGATCATCCATGGAGCAGCATTAACCACTGATTGACTCGAAGGTCCAAGATTACCTGCAGAGGAAACAACAGTGATCCCTCTTTCCACAGCATGAAATGAACCTATGGAAAGCGGATCTTCAAGCAAGTTATCAATAAACAATCCCATAGATATCGATATAACATCAACTCCATCTGCTATGGCATCATCAAATGCAGCCAGGATGCTGGAGCTACGGCAGCCAAGGAGTGAGCATGCTCTGTACATAGCTATCCTTGAAGTTGGTGATCCTCCTCTCATGATTCCTCCTGCTAGGCCATAGTAGGATGTGTCAGAGATTATTCTCCCTGCTGCTATTGATGCCACGTGTGTTCCATGTCCCAAGAAGTCTCGTGGTGTTTCATAATCCGGGTCTAAGAGGAATGATGAGTTGTAGTATCTTGCTCCTATGAGTTTCCTGTTTAGGAAACTTTCAATGTTTTAAGTACAAGGTGGTGGATTCAAACATATGTTTCATCTACTTACCTGTTGCAACGGAAAGCATCAGGTTCTGTCTTCTTCCCTCTCATGCAAGTACCTTTCCATCTATCTGGTACTGGTCGCATGTGCTTGTCGTTAAAGCTCTCTGCCTCAGGCCAGATTCCTGTTTTTTTTTTTTTTTTTTTTACCGTCAGAATATTAGTTAAATGGATCAATATATCTCATTAATTCTCCAATATGTTCTCACCTGAATCAATGAAGCCTATAATAGTGTCTCCTACTGCACCGTCTAGCTCTGGTTGAGAGTTTATTTCAGTGAAGTATGTACTGTCTCTTTGGTAACTTTCTTGAACCAAGAAGTCCCATGAACGAGTTGTGTGGAGAGGTAACATCAGATCAGGAAAGACAGAGACCACTCCTGGTTGCTCGGCCATGAGGCGTGCTTCATCTTCTGATAAATGGGTTGCAAATCCTGAGAATCCATGTTTGTATCTGTGTATGGGAGTTTTCCCGCTCCTGATGCAAGTAAGAAAGTGTCTATAGATAAGATGAATAATATATAATTAGAATATCATAGGAGTTTTGGCTTTAGTAATCACCGCATTAACATTGTGCTAAGAAGCTCAACATGGTGGTCATTGCCTGTTGATTCATCAGAGGATGCTGCTCCCATGTATATGATATAATCTCCTGACTTGCTTGTTACAGATTCACAATTTTGGATTACAGACAGAATTAGAAGAAACAAAAATAAGATGAAGGTGACTCTAAGGCATCTCATCATTTCCAAAACTTAAAGACACAAGATAAGAACGCTTCCAGTTCCCTATCACAAACATATATAATTTCAGAAGTGTTAGGTAAGTTCTTAAGTCTTGTCTGTTTTGGGGGGAATGAAGTTCACACTCATGCATGATGCATGCATGCCCTTTGTGTGAAAACAAGATTGCCTGACTTCAAGGAGTCTATTTTGCATGGATATTATCAAGGTGGTAAATGAAATTTATATGCTGTAGTAAGATTAGATTATTATGTAAGTTTATTTTGCTCTAGGTTAACTCTAAGTTTTATTATTCCTTATTCATCATACTGAACTTTATACCATTATTAAGTTTGTGCTGGTGCTACTCTTGCTACTAATTACAATTGGGCTTCTGACCTTGTAGTTAGCATTAGACCAAGTAAGAGCCCAAATTACATCCTGCTTAAGTGAAACAGCAGAAGAGACTATCACCTAGTGGTATGTCAACTTCTCACCATCTTTTATAAACTGGAGTTTGCTGGCGTCACTTGCATGGTAAACCCTGGTGGTGTTTCCAAGCTGACTGTAAAAACAGCTACACCGTCTCCACCAACATTAGTCACTGTCCTGTGCACTGTCTTGTTCTCATTTCCCTTGAATCTAGAGATTCCTATTGATGGTTGATATCATTTCTAGGTTGGAATCTGCAGGGAAAGTGAAATTCAGTGGAAGAGATTTTGATTTAGTCTTGATTGTGGTTGGCTGTATCCATAGTAACAGAGGAAGTTCAAGTAGTCAAGACTCAATATCAGTAGTCATAAACCAGTCCTGGCTGCAAGGAAAGCTGAGAGAAAGTGTAAACATGTTACAGTTAGAAGAGTTGTAGTCCAAAGCATGCTTCTAGGCATCACATCAGTGCTACTTTGAGAAAGTTTGTATTATCAACAAAAAGACATCGCATGATCAAATATAAAAAAGCTCCGATGCCGGGAATCGAACCCGGGTCTCCTGGGTGAAAGCCAGATATCCTAACCGCTGGACGACATCGGATAGATGTTAGTAGATATAAATCTAAACATATATCGTACATATTATGCCTCCACATAAGCTAGAGATACTGAGATAGTAATGTCAAAAAGGTTTATGATTAAATGTTTGTTTTTTGGTTAAAGAGGGTTTATAATAATGAATAGCTGCAAAGTAGGACAATTGAAGTGTTAAAGGAAGCATTGATGGAGTTTAATAGACATGAATAAATATTCTCAAAGGAACTGCAAGAGCTTGAAGAACATATCCACCTCTGTTTACACACTATTAACAGATCAAAAGGACTAGTGTTAGTGCAAATCACAGGACCAAGTTCATGATTCTTTGATTATTTTGGTTCATCAAAATATAAATACTTTTGTAGTGTTTATGACTAACTTGTCATAAATACTTAAAAGTGTAAGATAATATTTCAATGTTTTTGTTCATGATTCTAGTAAAACTATCCAAGCAAAATATTTGATTATTTTCTTTGTTTGTGTTCTAAAGCAGTGTAGGTTAAACATCATAATAATTGAACTGTACCGAACCGAACCGAACCAAAGATGGTTACAAAGAAGCTGATTTCATTTCACACTCTTGTTATGATTGTACTTGGTAAACACACTTTGCTACATAATCTTTTCGAGACTGAATCATTCAAACACACAACAATATATATATATAGATTTCCTCAATTACAACCGGATCTTCTCCATTAACAGACCCATCAAACTAGATAAAAAAAAAAGAAAAACAAAGCGGGCGGGTGGCTCCGGGAGAAAAGAAACAGAGACAAAGAGCGCGACCACTGCCAATAACTTTTCAGACACACAATTAAAAAAGAATCTCAAAACTGAACATTTGAAGCATAACTCTGTCCGAAAGACCAAGAAGAAGGAACAACATTGAGAAAAACTCTCGTAGCACCATCGGTAGTAGTAATAGAGAAAGAAAGAGATTGACCATCAAGATAAGCGTTTGATTGCCAATTAGCTCCCCAATTACGAGACATAGCTAACCAACCAGTCTTCGACCCTTTAATGGACACAGACTGAATCGAACCAGCTCCTCCAACGTTCGATATGTTCACTAACTCAAAGTAATCCCTACCGTTGATTCTGAATCTCACACCACCTCTCTTGTAACAGCTTACTCTGTTTTGAAAAACAGAGTCTTTTTGAGAAGTTTCTGAAAGTTTAAACCTTTTAAATGAAAAGTTCTAACCTTTGGAACACGACGGGGACGATCCCTCCTCTGTAGATTCCGATCTTTTCCCAAGCGGGTTGTGCCATGTCGAAATGTTTGAGCGGAGGGTTGCACCAGCCACCGTCGTTGTTGGGAAGAGCGAAGTTTGGTGGACAGAAGTTTGTTGCTGTGATCACCACGGAAGCTCCTTTCTTGCACCACCGTGAGTCCGCCGCGTAATCACACGTTATTCTGTAGCATTCGCCGCAAGAAGCTCCGTTGTTGAACAGAGCAGTGCTTAACGCCGCCGTCATTGTACCGTACCCCGCCGAGTAAAGATCTCCGTAGCCACAAGCTCCACCTGAGTAAACAAAAGGAACACATTTTTACTCCAATGGACTTGTAATAAAAATTATATTTATAAGCAATTAAAATTGTTTATATTATTGTTACCCATTGTTCCAGAAGCGTCACTCCCTCCATAGAATGTGGCGTGGCCATTGGTTAAACCAGAAGGTCTAAACGCATCAACCGCTATAAAAAGAGCGGCTAAAAGCGTCAATACAGCTAGAGACTTTGCCATGACTATGTAATTAGTAGAAGAAGAATGAGATGAGATGATGATGATGATGATGATGATGATCGAGTGAAGGAGAGAGACTTGTTTAAATAAAGGTGGGAAGTGTGTGTTTGTGTAGACTGTGTAGTAGTAACAAAACCTTACATGTGATCTTATCTTTTATCTAGCTTGTGTGTGTCTTTATTTCTTTTATTTTCTTTTCTTTTTGGCAAATCTTCTACATGTGCTTATTTTTTGTAAGTAAACACTAGTATATAAGTCCAAAATGATAGTAGATCTGCAAACTTTTTGTTTGTTGTAGTGTAATAAGTAGATGGGATTATTATATTCCCTAAATAGTTCATATAAACTCTGGATGTAAGTTTCACTAATATTAGTTTGTTTATTTCTATCAGATATATGTATATTGCTGTACAATGCGGTGGATATTCAATTTTTGCTTAAATGAATAAAAGAAGTAAGAAATAAATACATATAAGATAGTTTTCTTGTTTGTAATGTGTAAAATACTATCATGTGCAGGTTGGTCTGTGCAGGTTCATCCATCACATGCTCTCTTCTCCTACATTATTAACAACACGCCAAATCACATTTCATTTCTTTTAATCAGTATTAATTAATAATTATTTGGGTTATTCATCTCTCAGAACTTGATTTCCATTCTAAGTTTGGGAAGATCACCGTCATGGTGTTGTTTGTCGTCTTACATTTCACAGTAATAAATAAAACAGTGATAATAAACATATGGATACAAGAAGGTTTAGGACTCGAGGACATTGTTTACATTTGATTTAGAGTTTAAGAAACCTTATGAGCCAGTCATTGATGATGAGGCTTAGATAGTTGGCAGTTGTAACCATCAAAGAGCCCGGGAGATTTATTACTGATATTCACCATTATTGAAAAGCTTAATGAGTCACACGACAAAGACCTGTAAACTTAAAGCATAACATGAGATTGTTTTATTGAGATAATGAAACCTAGTTTGGCAGGAACAGACTTATGTATCATTATTTAATGACCATACACATGTCTTGTCTTCATTCTTCTGATATTTAAAAAGTGTTTACAAATCTATTAGTAAAGAGATTAAACGTGGCCGTAAGATTCATTATAACTTGCACAAGCCTGGTGATGATAACATTTCACATGACAATGTTCTAATAATGAGCCACCATTTGAAGATGCTTTGAACCTCTCAAACACCATTAAACGAAGTTGAAAAGATTCCAATCTTGTGAAACCAACAACGAAAACAAGTATAGTATTTTCTCTTTGTTCAAGACAGTTTTCAACTAATGTTTATACTTATTACAAGACAAACATAAACAAAAAAGGTCGTTGTAGTATAGTGGTAAGTATTCCCGCTTGTCACGCGGGTGACCCGGGTTCGATCCCCGGCAACGGCGATAAACTTTTTTGAACATACGAGCCTTAGTTTGTTAAATTCGTGGGCCTTTTTAGCGTATCCAAAAAAACAAATATCCAGCATAATATATACTTTGTCTCAGTTTTTTGGGTCCTCTTTTTAGGCTCGAATGAACTCTGGTTCTCTTCTTTGTTGTTTTTTTTTCTTGTATGACACGCGTATAGCAGTGATTATCTGCAATGCCAGAATGCGTCGGAGACTCTGATCGTTTATTGGTGAAGATTAAAACAAAGAACGCGAGTAATTTGCAGATTCCATAATGCCATGTGCGAGCAAGCTAAATACCATAAATTCCAATACTCAAAAAACAGACAAAACTGGATAATTCTTACAAGGTACAAAAACTGGAGAAATCCCAAAGACAAACATCCATAAAATAAATCAACAATATTATATAAACCTAATGAGAAATTATGCTACGGAACATCTTGTTATTTTTGATCGACAGAAGACTAAAGAAAAGAGAATGAAGAAAAAGAACAAAGTCCATTCAAACGATCACTTAAGGAGCTGCCTGAATCGGTGGTCCATTTGATCTGTTGAATCCACCACGGCCTCCTCCTCTTCCACGACCTCCCCTTCTACCTCCACGTCCTCCTGTTTCAACAACTTTTTTCACATTAGCGACTTACGGCAAGACCTTTAACATTATATATTTAGAAAACAAAAGCCTAATGAAACATCATCGTACCACGGCCCTGAGGAGGAGCATCGTATCCATGATCCTGTTGAGGTGCATTGTATCCGTAGTCTCCCTCATCATAATGAGCTTCATAGTTAGGTGGAGGACCACTGAAACCTCCTCTTCCACGACCACCACGTGCACCTCTTCTCCCGCCCCCTCTTCCTCTCCCAGATGGCCGCTCAGGCTCCATACCTCCATCATTGTACTCATGATCCTGTGGAGGACCACCATTGTGGCCATAGTTTCCTCCGTCTTGTTGGGCTTCATAATAAGGTGGAGGACCATTGAAACCTCCTCTTCCACGGCCACCTCGTCCTCCTCTTCTCCCGCCCCTCTTCCTCTTCCAGATGGCCGCTCAGGCTCCATACCTCCATCATCATACCCATGGTACTGTTGAGGAGGACCATTGTGTCCATAATCTCCTCCATCTTGTTGGGCTTCATAGTGACCACCGTAACCTCCTCTTCCACGACCACCGCGTCCTCCTCTCCCACGACCACCACGTCCTCCTCTCCCAGATACCCGCTCAGGCTCCATACCACCACCATCATCATACTCAACGTTCACATATCCGTCCCCTGATACATCCAAGAAGCCACAATCAGATCAACAAAAATGGAACCCTTCTCCACAGCTCGACTAAACTAAGATTTTGGAAAGAAGGATTGCTACAGTAATGCTACCTCTGCCACCTCTTCCTCTTCCCCTTCCTCTGTCTCTTCTTCCTCTGCCCCTAGGTGATCCATCTACAACAGATAGATATAGGTTACACATATATAAGAGACAACAAGGCAGGGAGGATGAAAATTTTCATTACAAAAGTAAGACTGTAAAATATACCTCGTCCTTCGTAATCAATCTCAGCAAATGGCTTCACCAACTCAACTGGGATCGGACACTGGTACCTGCAAACACAAGATCTCATTAGCACCAGGAGACAGCCTACTGCTTAAAACAGAGCCTTGGTAACTGAACTCAAAATACCAAAACAAACAAGCACTAAAAACTCACCCAACTACGGATGTGTTCAGCTCCTTCTTCGAAAGCGTTATAGTTATCACCGACACATGCCTTGTTGTCTCAATCCTAAAAAAGAAAGCAGTAAATAACAGTCCAGGACAACAAAACTAAGAGCACAACAATGTCAATCCACTTACGGAAGAAGGCCTTCCTCTTTAGGTTCCCAGGTATCAGTTATGTCAATGGATCCAATAGATGTGTGCTGATGGATTCCAGGAATCCTTCTCTGCATCAAACATTACAGTAAAAAGGTTCATAATACAATAATAAATCCCCTCCCTTATGTGATTAGGAACAGATAAAACAAAAGCATACCTTAATGAGCTCAGCAATGGTCACACTCTTGTTGATAGCTTTTCCCATTGCCTTGAAAATAACTTCATCTGATCCTTTCTCCTATATCAAAGAAACATATACAAAATGATGTTTATTAACTCATTGTAACAAACAATATGCCAACATAAATTTTCTAAAAAAATCATCAAACCAATAATCAAAAGAAACAAAAAGTTAAGAAAAAATTAACCATTAATGTGCTCTTCAGATAACAAATTCATGATTTATATTCTCTATAAATGCAAGTAGATTGTTTGAAATAGTAATTTTGAAGATCCAATTAAATGTACACTATATCACCAAGAAAAATCTCGTTTCTACACCAATTCATAACAGGATGCCTAATTAAATGTACCACTTCTTCATCGTACCGTACCAACTATTAACTATAGAAGAAACTGAATCAAACACAAACGTTTATTCTCAGATTCACTGAAGAGAGGCAATACCTGAAGAAGAGACATCGCATAGGTGATGCAGTTACGAGCCCTACCCGTACTGGTGATACGAATCTCGTTCTCAGAAATCGGCGTCTCATCCTTAGGCTTCGCCACTGATGTCTTGCATTATTGCATTGTTTTATCTACTCTTTTGCATACCTTTTCATCATGTAGGTTAGGTTCTAGCCATGTTTAGGTTGCATTTTGCATACATGAGTCCCCTTTAGGTATTGGAGTTTCACATGGAAGCTTTGGAGACATTTGGGGTTCATTAGAGGCTCAAAAGAAGCAAAAGGAGTGATCTAGACCC